ATATATATATAATTTTTTGTCCTACCTGTTCTCAGTTATTTAGATTAGTTTCATTATTATTATAATCAGGTAGTTGTCTTTAAAGTCTTTTTGACTGAATATAGTTCAGATATTATTTGTAACTTGTTATGTTTTATTTTTATTTCAAACATCTAAATGAGAAAGGTATACATTCTAACACCAACGAATAATGTTTCATGTCACAGTTTACTCTTAAAGAAAATCAGAGTTTGTTGGAGTTGTTTGCTTCTGTTTATGTTTGTCTTTTTTTTTTTTTTGAAGGTGGAGGAGGGCAAAACGGTCATATTGGCTGTAATGCATACTATCCTATGTTTACTAAAAATATTGTTGTGATTAAACCGAGACATGTATTACCATTAAAACCATAACTTGAAAACCTAAACGAAAAGTTCACTTAATTGCTATAATAAAGTTTTTTTTTTCATTTATTTCCAGTTTTTGCTGTTGTTTATCCCACTTAAAGTGCGTTTTGACTTTTTGAGTTTAACAAAAATATTTCTGCATCATCCTTCTGCCAACATCACTTTGCATATAAAAATGGTATCCTTATTAAAAAAATATTAATAATTTGTCAATAAGTCTTAACTAAATCTAAAGCTGAACCAAATTTAACTCAAGCACACTGTCTGAAATAGGAGCTGAACAAAACTTGCTGGAAACCTCTGAGTATCAACACCAAACAAAGTACTTAATGGTAACATAGGAAACAGTTCAAGGCAAAACATGTGATCATGTACACGGAGTTGTGTATTTGTGTGTGTGGCTCACTGTGTTTCCATGTAGGTGCATGAGCACCGGCTGTGTTGGAAACAGAGAGAGGTCCTGGAGTTTCAGGAGTTTGGATTTGCCCGTTTTCTGTCTTTTATTTGAGTATCAAAGCCAGCATGGGTTACAGGACTACAGTGATGTACACTGAGATGGGCTGCTTTGTGGTCTGCGTAGCCGGATGGATCCTTGTTTGTTCCACAATGCCAACCGAGATCTGGACTTGGTCTGAGGTTAGCGGCATAGTCCTGACTTCGTCAAACTACTTCTCCAACTTGTGGAAAGACTGCGTTTCTGATTCAACGGGAGTATCTTCCTGCAAAGGGATCCCATCACTGTTTGCCCTGAGCTGTAAGTAACACAAATAAGATTCATGAAGCACATTAATGTAGCACTGTAACGTGTGTGTGTGTCCTCTAACAGGGGACATCCATATGTGCCGGGCTCTTATCATTACCTGCATTATCCTGGCATCCTTTGGGTCGATTCTGGTCTTAGTGGGAATGAAATGCACAAAGATTGGGGGCTCTGAGATTACTAATGCAAAAGTGACCTTTGCTGGAGGGATGAACTACCTTGCAGGAGGTAAAACTGAAGTTCATGTGCTGCTCTCAACTGTATTTCATCTCTAAACAAGTGTGTGTGTCGTTACAGGGGTTTGCTCCATGGTCGCTTACTCTTACTATGGAAACAAACTTAGAACTGAGTTTCAAGACCCTTCCTATGTAGAACAGAAGTATGTAGAACGCTTCGGATGTTAAATATATGTCATCAGAATAACTGATTAGTTCTTGTATGTGTCGCCAGGTTTGAAATAGGCGTTGGTGTCTATGTTGGCTGGGGTGGTTCCACTTTACTGGTTGTTGGAGGCCTTGTTTACAGCATCTTAGCAGGAAGAGAAGCGTGCAGTTCACGGTACAACAATGCTGCTTAATCGTCCGTTTTCTATCCTTTAGTTTAAAAATACATATACAGTGATGTCTTGTTTTTAATCCTAACAGCCCAGAAAATGTCCAGGCCTACCAGGTCCCCGGCTACACCTTTGTCCCGTCACGGAAAAGCTTTGTGTCGTCAGCTCGCACAGAAATCACAGAGAGCAGGAAATCAAGGAGCTCAAGTGAGAGCAGAGCCAGCAGCATCTCCGCGATCTCCAGCACCACCAAGACGACGGGCGTCCAGTCTTATGTGTGACGTGTTGTCAAAGGAGGAAAAGAAATGTATCTAACGAGACTTTGCTGTTACAATAAATTCATGGAGTTGCAACAGTTTTCTCACTGAAAACTTTTTCACTGACGGGTTTTTAGCTAAACACTGAAAATTAATGTTGTTTATTTTTTTATTGATCAAAAGACAGGCAGTTTCAGCAGTTTTCTCTTCCATTTTATCTAAATATGTGAATGAAATGACACAAAGAGTAAAATAAAATTGAATCATTTAAGCTACTAGTTTGTTAGCCTAGCAACGTCACCAATTTCACGTCAAATCATACAAAGCAGCCTTTCCTTAAAAAAATTTAAAAAATTAATAATTGAAAAATTTGGGACAACCAGTGGAGAAGGAGAAACAGAAAGTACAGTTTTTCCACATAAATTACTGCTATACGTCATCAAATGATAAAAAAAAGGTTTACTTTGCTAAAAAAAAAAAAAAAAAGAGTTGAAATAAACAAAAGTTTCTGTCTTGATTATAAGAAAAAAGTAAAATATTCAACCATCTGGTCAAAGTGTTGATACATTTATTAGGCTGGAAGTCCTTATAGATAGGTACACATTAATTGTTTAGTGTCTACTTTTGATTAAAACAGATATAAAGTAAATTATTGTCCTCATTTTATTTTTATTTATTTTTTGTTTGAACATATATAAATAAAAATACTTAATGATGTCAACAATTTATTATAAATCTTTTATTTTGTAATGTAACAAACTTGTGTATGTCTATGTTTATGCCCTAATGAGTTATGTTAATCTAATTTAGTCTGATTCTAGTTGAGTGTTTTGGACCCCACCACTGAGGAGGTCCTATTAGACTGAGCGGCAGCAACGGAGCAACCCCAAATGAAACCTGGTTTTTGGTCAAGTCGGCACGAGTCAGCAGTAATCGGCCACAGAGATTTATTTGTAATTTTTTTTAAGCATGGATTTTCTGCTGTTATGGATGAAATGCTCAATTCAATTCAGTTTATTTATAAAGCGCCAAGTCACAACAGAAGTCATCTCAGGGCACTGAACAGAAACATTCATATATCAAAATAATAATTTAACATTATTTATCTGAGGAGCAGACTGATTTGAGTTTAACTCCCTCACACAAGTCTCATCTTGAGCAAGCATGAAGGCGACAGTGGAAAGGAAAAACTCCCTCATGAGGAAGAAACTTTTAGCAGAACCAGGCTCAGGACAAGTGGCCATCTATTTCGACCGGCTGGGTTTGAGAGGAACAGATACACAATGGCAGGTCAAGAATCACATGTTAAGATAGAAATAGTATCACTCAAATGTATTTTTTGCTCTTTTCTTTCCGACTAAAAACAATTTAGTCAGATGAGTTGAGACTGGGCTCGACAGCAACCTTCAGTTGCAAAGGAGGCACTTGTTTCATCACTTTGTCTCTCAAACGTGACAAAGGATCACCACCTAGAGGCCTCATACAAAAACTGAAAGAAGTGGGTTAGAGGTAACAAAAAATACCATAGCACCGGTATGTACTATTTTATATAGGCTCAAAAATGCATTTTTAATGGGTTTTAAATGGGTCTGTTTTTTCCTATATAAACCAACGCAAACTAACAAAGAACAACTAAATTTGATCACTTTCTTTTTTAGTGGGGCAATTTTATCACGGGATTTGCACTGAAGATATCAAATTATCAACCAGATCATCTTAAATCACTGCTCTCTGGTGCATTACTCTGCAAGACAGAGCAAAACCACAGTGGATGAGATTCTTTAAATTTGGTTACAGTGTTCTCAACACCTGCTATAATGAAATTTACTCTCAGCGGCTGTGCAGTGAGTTAATTTAAATGCAAAGGGTATAAAAAAAGGTCAGACAGAACAGGATTTTGAGGATATATTAATATGGTGTTGTGTTTTGACCAGTCAATGTCAATATCGTCTGAGAAATATTTCTAAACTGAGAGCAGTGTTATCCAAATCTGACCTGGAGATGATCATTCATGTTTTTATCTCTTCTCATTTAGATTACTGTAATTCCCTTTTTACTTGTTTTAACAAATCTGCCATCACTCATCTCCAATTGGTCCAGAACGCTGCTGCAAGGCTTTTAACAGGAACTAACAGAGGTTTCACATTACACCTGTTTATCTTCTCTTCATTAGCTACCTGTTGAATTTAGTATTAATTTAAAAAATTGTAGTCATAACTTTTGGAGCCCGCACCCGTCCTTTCAGGCCATAACCCCCAGACTGTGGAATGTCTCTTATCTCTATTGATTCCTTTAAAAAGCAGCTTAAGACGCTTTTGTTCAGACAAGCAGTTAAATGTTTTATTTACTGTTTTTACCAGCTGTTCGTAATGTTTTTTAATCTACTGTTGCTATTGTTTTTGTTTTATTATTAGCCTGCATTTTGCATTTCTGTAAAGCATTTTGTGATTGTATCTTTGAAAAATGCTATATAAATAAAGTTTACTTACTTAAGTACTTGATCTCTGTGTCACAAATCAGAAATGAATCAAGTGCGATGAGAAAGAGTGGATGTGTGGACATTTTGGGTAAAACCAATTATTAAAATATTATATGCTTAGCTATCACTTTAAATATCTACATGAATATTGAAATCTCTCCCATTATTGTGACTTTATCAGTATTCAATACTACGTCAGACAAAAAGTGAAAATAAGGGCCTGGTGGACGATAAAACAACTAGTAAAAGTGACTTTTCTGATTTCCATGGTCCTGCTGGCTTTCCATACTTCTGCTGCCGTGGCTGCTCTCTGTTGAGCCAAGACATGTGGGCGGAGCTTCAGCAGCAATCCAGCCAATCAGCGTCCCCCACGACCGGACAGCGGAGTGTTTATGATCTGCTGTGACTGCTGGGCGAAAGGAAGCGATGCCCTACAGTAGAAGCAGCCAGCACATGGCGACTGCTGCTAAATAGGAGACAGAATCACGTTAAACGACATCTGTGAAGGTCCTCGGGACTTGACGAGAAAAGATTTGTCAGCTTCTAATTCAACCATGGTTTCCTTTGACTATGTAACTCACAAGATAGTGACTTACATCCCATATGTTCTTGTTTTGATTGACATGCGATATGAAGGTAAGATTTTAAGTAGCTATAGTTTGTTTATTGCGTTTATAGTAAGTGCTACCACGTCTGTTTAAGGTTGTCTTTTAGTTTAGCATATAGGCTTGCTGTGTTCAAACTGACATGTCAGCTGCAATGACAGTGTTAGCTTGCTAACTGCTAGCTCTGTTTACAGACCTTAAACTAGCTCATCGTGTTTATCTCGCTGTAAACAAGTTGTCTCTTCGCTTTAAGCCTATAAAGGATCAAAGGCTAACATTTGTGTTTAGTACCCTTACCTACGAAGGCAATTTGTAGAACTTAAGATAAGTTTTCCTAAAAATAAAAGTGTAAAAGCTAGCAGCTGGATTCAGCTTTACTTAAAATAATAATAATAAATCAAAAAATGAGTCCGGCACATGTGACATTTAAAGATTTGTCCCTAAACAGTTCCTTGTTAAAGTTTTTACCACTCCTAGTTTCATAGTTGGTGTTGGTCTTTTTTTTAAACAGGTTTCTGGGTTTTTAGATCTTTCACAGTTCTTTTTATTTTGGCTACTATCTCTTTATTTTCTGAAGTGTCAGAACTAAAATCTGTCAACAGCAGATAAAAGTGATGTCTTCAAGAAATAGTAGGAAAAACCAGAACTTGACAAATACAGTTGATCACCAGCATGACACATTTCCTTCTTTCGTAATCACAGCTATCACTTTGTTGCTCCTGAAATGCTATTTAAAATGTCAAAGCTGTGTTATCTTTGTCCTTTTTATTGATTCAACAGAAGTAATCGGAATAAATGTAGCTTTGTGGCAAGTAGGAATAGATAGTATGACGATTCAATTAAGTTGTGTTTGTAGGTTTAGTGCAACATCGGTTAATCTACTGAGTCCGAGTGTCTTTATGTTTGAATTATTCACATATATGTCAAAAGTTAAGTGGCTTAAGAATAAAAAATAAAATTGATCTCAATGCTGTTAAGTACTGGATGGAAAAGGAGTGGAAAAAGCAGCCCAAATGAAATAAAACAATCTTTAAAAAGAAAAATAAAATTCAAAAAGTCTGAATTATATATTGCTCAAGACATGAGTGCAATACCGTCTTTGTGTATTTCAGGAGTGAACTGTGGCAAAGATGGGAGTGTGGACAATCATATGGAGATGGGAAAGAAACTTCTTGCTGCTGGCCAGCTGGCTGATGCCCTCTCTCATTTCCATGCTGCTGTGGGTGAGTTAACGAAGATGCAACTGGGTTTATCTTCACTTGTACATCAGGAAATGCATTGAAAGCTTCATTTCATCATGTCTTCATACTTTTTGTCAGATGGAGATCCCAACAACTACTTGGCTTATTACAGGCGGGCTACAGTGTTCCTCGCGATGGGAAAGTCCAAATCTGCACTGCCAGACTTGAGCAGAGTGATTGAACTCAAACCAGACTTCACATCTGTGAGTAACTTTCTTTAACATTAGACAGAAATAATTTATTTCCCTTACTGTTTTGTGTCATTTTGCAGACTTTTATTGTGAATTTGACACTAGTGTGTGCAAGTGTCCACATATTGTTGACATGATTTCCAGCTGTTTCAGGTGCAGGCACAGATGGGAAGTTGCTCAGTTATGTCAGCTGTTTTGAGAACTCTGAATTTGCATTAATATGCAAATTAAACTCTGTTTCTCTCTCTAAAGGCCCGTCTTCAGAGAGGAAACCTGCTTTTGAAACAAGGAAAGCTGGACGAAGCAGAGGGTGACTTCAAGAAGGTGGTAAGTCCAGTTTAGTCTGAGGCTTTTAAAAGCAAGAGCTCACCAGGAGGTGTCAGTGTTGGTCTGTAGTCTGGTTCTTTAGTGAAACTGTGACCAGTTTTTGTCCAAAATTAGTAAAAACCTAACTGAAAACGTGAGGAGTTTTATTGTTTTCTTTTAGATGTAACCTCGTTATTTCATTGTCAAATTATGCTGATAAATTGTCCCATTTTTGTATTTTGTTGGACAGATTTCGTTGCACAATGATTATTTGCTCATATTGGGTTGGAGGTTTTGTTTTTGAACAGCAGGCTCTAAAACACAAGTCTGCTTAAAATACAAGATGGTAGAAAAGAACAATAAAAGTCTTAAAACATCATGGAACTTTTGATTAAATTACTAATCCAGTGCATTCCTTTAGAGTGTATAAATATAGTATTTATATTTTAATATGAATACAAGCTAGAGTTTCTGCCTATTTGAGTCAAATTTCAGTCAGTGTTCTTCCTTTCCTAGCTTGCCTCACAAAGTGGCTAAAAGTGATGACAAGTGGTGAAGAAGGAGCACGTTTTAAACCAAGGGGTGAAACATTTGCTTGAAATTAAATTAAAGACAGATGTGACCGTGATCTGTTTGAATGTTCTCTAATCACTGAAGAGGTCACAGGAAAAAAGGCTTATTGATCTCCTGCTGCATTTGTCTTCACAAAGGAAATCCATGCCATTGTTTGAAGAGAATAATTGGAAGTGTATGTCCAGATATTTCTTATTTAACCTTCTGGGTTGCTGTGATAATGATCCAGAGTTAACGGCTAGGGTTGCCTGTACAGAAGCCTCGCAACTAAAACATTATCAGACTGTTTATTCTGCTGAGTGTCCTTGAAGCGTTCATCATTCTGTGTCATGGCTTGAGAGACACAAACGGCTATTTTAAATCTGAGTTGAATGGCCAAAGCATCACCAATGACATTTAAGAGTTCACATCACCTCATTGTGGTTTGAACTAAATTATTTAACAGTCGGATGTGAAAATCCGTCAAGAAAAGTTTGTCAAATATGATGCAAAACAAATTGTTGGTTGATGCTTTTTTGTTATCATCAAAGCTTCATAGCTAGTGATGAGAGAATTGTTGAATAGCAGATTAGCACAGAGGTCTTTTGGAGTCAGTCTCCCCACCATCACACACATCTACATCTCCAGATGCAGGAAGAAGGCCACCTGCATCATGAAGGACCCCACTCACCCAGCACATACACTTTTTGCCCCGCTCCCCTCAGGAAGGCGGTTAAGGAGCATTAAGTGTAGAACCACTAGACTGAGGAACAGCTTCTACCCTCAAGCGGTTACTCAAATCCCAAACCAGACATACCACCGTAAAGCCACTTTTAATTGGACATTTAAGACTTGATCCATGCTGCTGGCTTCTTATCCATAAGCTGCTATATTCATATCAATCTGCTCACAACTGACTCATGTTCAGGCTGCTGTTTACTACACCTTATTTACATTATTATTTTTAGTGTATATCTTGCATATATAGCTTTTTTTGTGAGGGGAGTGTAACTGGGCCCTTAAAAACACAGTTTTGTTCCACCTCATGCACCACATGTGATGCGAATGCCACTAAAGTCACCTTGACCTTGGTGTCTCCTCAGTAATCTGTGTAGATAGATGGCTGGTGATGTCAGGACATGCTCTGCTCGTTTTGTAAATCACGTTGTTTGTAGACCATCTCAAAGATTAGATTTAAAAACCTGTTGGGATTTTCAACATGACTTTATCTCAGTCGTACACTTTCTAATGCATGACACTTCAATGATTCTTGCCAGCTGTAGCACATTTATCATTAGTGTTGTGAACCAAAAACTTCATGTAATTGAAGTAATGACAACAATAGGTAGGCATTTATCTGCTTTGTTTTTCATCAGTGGGTTCTTGCTTTTCACATGTAGTTTTATTTAAACAGTAACATCTATGTCTGTATTGCTTGTTGGCAGTCTATAATGCGATGTTCTATAATGTCATATAATCTGGTCAGAGGTGAACACTGTCCTGCTGCTTCAGCGGTCTACAGCTGCGGCCTAATTTAATTCATATTTACTTTTGTTTGTTCGTAAGCTGAGCTAGCAGGAAGCTCTGAAAGGTGGTCAGGTCTTTTTTTTTTTTTTTTGAAAGAGAGATGTCATTAGCTGAGATTACTTTTGAAAATATGATGCCCTCTATGATGAGAATAATCACTGAAGTGATTTGCTATGAGGAGGCAAAAGATGGCATGGAACTCTCTTCAAAAATGTAAAAACTCCTTCAGGAAGGATTATATATATATACTGGTGAAAGAAGGAACTGTCTGAATCTGTTTTCTTCCATTTATTTTGTCCTGCCTTCAGACTGAGTGCTTTTTCTCTAGCATTACAAATTAACTGCTTTAAATGTGGTTGAAAGGTGCTTGAAGTAATGCCTTGCTTTACAAATGTCCAGCTCAAGTCCAACCCCAGTGACAAAGAGGAGAGAGAAGCTCAGAACCAGCTGGCGAAGTCCGACGAGCTTCAGCGGCTGGTGGCTATGGCGCATCGCAGCTACAGCAGCAAGGACTACACGACGGCTGCTGCCCAGCTCGACACAATCATCGAGGTACGAGGCGAACCTTGTTGGTAATTTTCCTGCGGGCACGACTTGTCTGTGGCCATCGTTGCAGCGTGGACGGCATGTGTAGATCAGTTTGTAAGCGTTCTCGCTCACCTGCTGCAGACGTGTGTCTGGGACGTGACCTCTCGCGAGATGAGAGCCGACTGCTTCATTCAGATGGGAGAGATGGGGAAGGCCGTCAGCGACCTCAAAGCTGCATCCAAATTAAAGAACGACAACACGCAAGCCTTCTACAAGCTCAGCACCATCTACTATCATCTTGGAGACCATGAGATGTCGCTCAAGTAAGATCTGAAGCCTTTATTGAAACTGTTTTATTTATTTTTTTGGTGATGACTAAAGTATAAATACTGTTCATTTCCTAATTATGAGTCAACATGCAAATAGTTTGTGTTTTTAAGATAAAACTTTATTGATCCCATAGGAAATTGTTGTGCCAGAGTTTTGGTACAAAAGGAACTTGCACAATCGCACAAGATATAAAAATTTACAGAGAATATACAAAATGTGTTGCCATTGTTCAGTGTTGGTGGACACTCTTGACACACACTTTGAATTCTAATAACAATAAGTCAATGTTTTCAACCACTCCCACCTCCTCCTGGGACCTGCAGTGAGGTGCGCGAGTGCCTGAAGCTGGATCCTGACCACAAGCAGTGCTTCAGCCATTACAAGCAAGTCAAGAAGCTCAACAAACAGATCCAGGCTGCAGAGGAACTCATCCAGCAGAAGAGGTGTGTTCCACTCGTATTGTGTGACCAGTTTTAGATCAAGAGAATAAACATTTTACCCCCGTCCATTTCTGAATGACTTTCAGGTGTTTAAGAATTGAGTTGAGGCCAATTTTGGTGTTATGGATATGCCGAAGTTTAAACCTGCTCGGATGCATCTTTGTTCCTGTAGCATTTAAAGGATGTTCTGTCTGAACACCAGGAGTTGCATCAGCTGAAGCACAAGTGTTTATAAATCTTCTAGCACGCCCACTTCCTCTGGTTGTACAGCCAATCCCATCCATGTGTGAATAGATGTCACATCATATTTCACAAGTCTACATGCAGAGAACGAGTGTTGTGATGTTTGTGGGTGTAGTAATCTGTGTTGTGCTGTTCTGCTTCCTGAAACACCTACCTGCTTCCTTCTCTTTAGGTTTGAAGATGCGGTGAGTAAGTATGAGACAGTGATGAAGACTGAGCCCAATGTGCCCCAGTTCTCCCTCCTCGCCAAGGAGCGAATCTGCCACGCACTCACACAGGTAAGACTCTTCACATCTGCCCCAAACTTTCCCCTCTAGTTTTCTGAGAACTATCCAAACCAGCGTGTTTCGGTTGGGTTCTGATCAGGACCAGCAGGCAAGCAGAGCTGTCTCGGTGTGTAGCGAAGTCCTCCAGTCGGACCCCGAGAATGTGAACGTACTGAAGGACCGGGCCGAGGCGTACATCCAAGATGAACAGTATGAAGAAGGTAAGCTTCAACATTAACCAAAACATTCAGCAGCTGTTCCTGAACCAGCGTCCTACAACTTTGACTTTCAAAATCAAGGTCAAAGGTTATACAAGGTCTTTGCTTGATCCGGCCACTACTATAGATTGCTGTAGTGCTGTGTAATAGTTTGTCAATGGGTGTATATTGTGCCCTATACAGTAATCCCTCCCGCGATAAACGGACCACGAAGTAGCGAGGGACTACTGTATTCTTGTTTAAATGTGTATTAAAAAATAAATAAAATAAGAATACTAAGATTAAGGTTTAAGACTGATAAAACTTTTAGGGACAACAAGCTTCATTCCCCCAGCCACACACTCGTCCATCACAGACTGGAGGTAATGTGAGGCTCGGTGGACTTTAGTGTCATCAAACCACCAAGTTTCCTAACTCCTCTTGAGCCACAACTGGTTCACAACTGGTTTAAAGGCAACTCATGCCACCTGTCTGACAGCAGGAAACTTTCTGGACCCCAACATCTACCGTGCAGCCAAGTAAACGCATTTTCACCAAAAAGTGGGAGGGAAAGATTGATCGTTTTGTGACGCATGTTGTTGGAGTCATGGGAGACATACTGGTAGAAGTGGTTTCAGATGACCCATTAAGCCAATTTCAGTAGATTATTATTGTATAAAAAAGAGGAGGGCTGCAGAGATCTAGTTTCAGTGTTGGAACAGCCAGAATTGTTGCTGGCTTGCGTCATTGCAGGAGTTCAACACCAGGGGTCGCTGTAACACTGGAGCCTAAAACTGACGGGAAACATCTGATCATGAGAATGAACGGCGGCTGCACTGGGCAATAATAATTAGATATTTGTTGTAAGGTTTGAATTGATGTGTATAAAATCAGGAAGCTTCTGCCATCCAATTACATTCTGCCTCATTAAACTCAGTTCCTGTTCTTTAGCAGAGCCATTTAGATTATTAATCTGAAAAATCAGTATAATCTGTGTGATTGATGCGGCCAGGGATGCCATATTTACCACGAGCCAAAAACAGACAAATGTTGAACGCGCTTAAATTAAATTTAGAACGGGAGGTAAATGTAACCTTCTGTGAGGTTTACACAATAAATGTTCTACAAATAAACCCGTCTTCAGAAACAAATAAACCAGTTTTCAGAAACTACTGAACATGTGGACTCAACTTTTGTTGAAGGAGGGTGGATTAGGCTGAAACACGATTCAAGCTGTTGACATTTTATTTGAAATCAAAATGTCAGGAATAGTTTGTGCTCCTCACCTGATGTTCTGCAAATAAACATGCAGATACTTTGCTCAAAATTCCCTTACAAACATCAAATGACAAATAAGCTTAATATTTTTTAGTCACTCATCATTTCTTAACATGCAAGTAAATGCTTTATGTAATTCTCAAACATTAAGAGGACTCGCAATCGTATTTCAGTACGCAAGTATGTAAAAATACTAATATAACCAATTTATTATGGGTCTTTCATTTTCTAATGTAGCAAAATATAATTATTTATATAAAAATTAGTTATCTTCTTATTTTAAACGATTTGTCGTCTTCTTCTTTCGGCTTTTCCCTCTTCAGGGGTCACCTCAGCGAGTCATCCTCCTCTCTGTTCTCTGCATCCTCTGTCCTCACTCCATCTACCTCCATGTCCTCTCTAACTGCATCCACATATCTCCTCTTTGTCTTTTTCCTGGCAGCTGCATTTCTAACATCCTTCTACCAGTATACCCACTGTCCCTCCTCTGGACATGTCCAAACCATCTCAGTCTGGCCTCTCTAACTTTATCTCCCAGTTGTTCAACCTGTGCTGTACTTCTGATGATCTCATTCCTAATCTTATCCATCCTTGTCACTCCTAAGGAGAACCTCAACATCTTCATTTCTGCCACTTCCAGTTCTTCTGTCTTATTGTCCATGTCTCTTTCTTCAGACCGTACAACATAGCTGGTCTCACCACTGTCTTGTAAACTTTTCCTTTGACCTTTGCTGACACCCTTTTGTCACAAATCACTTGGAATAAGAGGCAGAAATGGATCTTGATTGTAAAAGTTATAAACTGCTTTAGTAATTAGAAAAAGCTAATTTTTACTGATTACTCTCATTTTGCTTTAGTTGTGCCGCTGTTTGTGTCGCCTTTTGACTTAAATTGTGATTGTAGTTAAATGATCAAATCAAAGTCACATTTTATCCTTTTGCTTAAAAAAAAAAAAAAAAAAAAAAATTACATTCAGATAAAATCTGCTCGAACCCACTTAGTGTGAGAGCTGTGCTGGTTTAGTTTTCTGCCAGCCAACCAGTTATAAAAGTGTTAGTTGTAAAGGTCAGCATGCACATAAAGAAAATGGTAGCTATAAAAATAAATGATGACTCAAGGCTGTGTGCTCGTTTTTTTTAGTTTCTATCATCTTCCAACAACTTTTCATCTGATCTATAATGCGCAAGTTATTTTAGATGTAATTAAAAACAAGTCCTTAAATGGGGGAAAAAACCGTCTGAAACAAAATATCCAAACATCTCAATGAACACCGTTTGACTCGAGTCATGTAAAAATAAAGAGTACTCCTGAGGTTCCATCACCTCTGCAGCAGCAGGAGGTGTTGGCTGTGCCGAGTCTGTGTCACCAACACGACACGTACACTCAGCCAGGTAGAGACGGCAGCCCTCGTGTAGGCTTTTAAACTGTCAGAGCACATGGGAGGTTTTAATTCACTTCGGTACGCCTCACAGGGTAAACAAGCCTCAAAGCATCCGAACTCGTGCACCCAAACAGCCCGCAGCTGCTGCAGCAGCTTCCTGAACGCAGCAGGAGCGCTCCAGATGAAAAGTCTTCAACTATCAGGACACCGATCAAGTCATGTTATATAGGTCAGTTTTTATGTTCTCGTGATGGGAGTTAGAAAAGTAAACATTATATTCTGGGGTTAGTTTTCAAATTGAACAGCTACTTTCTATTTTCAGCTGTATGTGTTTTTCTTTTCTTAATGGTGATTCATGTCTTTCAGTTTTTGTACTCCTCTGATTACTTAAAATTATTTTTCACAAGTTGACACAATTCCTATAGTTACATTGAAATATCTGATATGCTTCATTCAGAGCACATTAGGATTAAAGTGCTACGTTTTATATAGAAATGTTTTGAGCTGCGTTTTTGGCTTTGCAGCTGATTGTGGGGCACATAGTGAGACACTTAGGCCTTTCACGATGACTAATTTTGCTGGACGATTGTCTCAAATCATTGCAATAAACGATAATATTGTTAAATTTGACAATAATTAGTAGTAATTATTGTCAAATTTAAGAAGAAATGTTTAATTTGTTTTGCTATAGTATATTTTTTGACCACCGGATGGCAGTATAAGACTGTTTGAAACGAAGGATGGATAGTGAGGGAGCGAGCAATGCGTCTCTTTAAAAAAAATGGGAGGGAGGCCCCTTGACGTGACGCGGGCTGTCTCTTTTTGTTTCTCAAAATGGCAGGTGCTCGGTGTGGTTTTGAGCTCTTTAACATAACATTTTTCACACAAAGCTTTTAATTAAAAAATCAGTAAACAAGTTCTCAACTTCTTGTTGCAGAGAAAAACAACTTTTTACATGAACGTATTTCAACCGTGAAGTTTGGAGCTTCAACAAGACGGAGTTTTTTTTTTCCCCGAGGTCGGCCTGTTAGCTTAGCTTGTAGCTTAGCTTCTCACCATGGCTGCTTTTTAACGATCCAAAATTGCGATTTTTGGATCGTTAAAATGGGTTTTAAAGAGAAAAGGGAAAGGGAGGGGTCAGTGAAGAACACAGGAGTTGAGCTTTTTGTCATCCATTGTCTTCAGTAGCGAGAAAGAGACGAAAAGTTGGCGAGCCGACAGGCGCACACGTATACAAGTACGTCAGTGGGCGTGCACCAGTTGAGTTGGGCTTGTTTTCATAGAGCTGGTTGCTTGTTTCTATCATGAGATCTGGCAACACTGACAGTCGTGTTAGCGGTTTAGCGTTAGCGAAGCACTTTTTTTTTGTTAGCGATATATGGGTATGTGAAGCTAACGTTTTGATTAGCTGTGCCCACCACTGCTAAAGTTTGTTTGGCCTTGTTAACCTAAACATGCAGCCCATGGGAAAAAAAAAACTTTAAGAAAAATAATTTTGTTGTTAAGTTAAAATCCTCAAAGTCCAGTGGTTTGCCGATTTAAGTGCAAGGAGGGAACGCGCTAAATGTGTTTAATTAGACAAACGATTTGCTAAACAGCAGCAGGTGTGGTTGGATTTTGCTTGGCTCAAAGGACTATTGCAGCAACAAATGTCTTTCTCTTTGGTCCAAACACTCTTTGCTGCTTCTAAAATAATGCCTAAAATCTTTGATGATGATAATAATAATCTCCTTCCAGCCAGCAGACCTTTAAATCAGCTCAGGTCATGGCTCTGCCAGACAATGATGCAATTTCCAGGAGCCTTGTATGTCAACATGCATCATTGTAGTTGCATCAGCTGTTTTTAGAGAAATGTGATGAATGATGACTATTTAGATCTGAAACCCTTTTGAATACTGACCTGCTGCATTCAACTCTCCCTGAACTTTAAACGGCAGCAGATCTGCTGTGAAGCAGGTTTGAGTGATCAGTTGGATTTGCTCAACTTTTTGTCCCCAGTCACAGAGCAGAGAACGGGAATCAAAGCATGAAGATGAGCTTCTCTGAGAGTTTCTGCTGAAATTCTTTGGTTATGCCGACCGATTTGTTGCAGCAGCTGTCCGGGTGGCTGGTCTCAGATCATCTTGGAGGTGAAGATGCAGGATGTGGAGGTCCTGGGCTGGTGTGGTTACACGTGTTCTGCAGGTGTGAGGCAGTTGGATGTACTGCCAGATTCTCAAACGCCTTTGCAGACGGTTCATGGTAGAGAAATAAACATTCATTTCACGGACGGCAGCTCTGGTGGACATCCCTGCAGTCAGCGTGCCAACTGCACACTCCCTCGAAACTTTCAACATCTGTGGAATTGTGCTGTGGTTAAACTGCACATTTTAGAGTGGCCTTTTATTGTGGTCAGCCTAAAACACACCTGTGCAATAATCATGCTGTCTAATAAGCATCTTGATATGCTACACCTGTGAGGTGGATGGATTATCTCAGCAAACGCTCACGAACATAGATTTGTGAACCATATTTGAGAAAAAGGGTCTTTTTTTGTACATAAAGTCTTAGATCTTTGAGTTCATCTCATGAAAAATAGGAGCAAAAACAAGTGTTGCCTTTATATTTTTGTTCAGTATATATGTAAACCAACCACCCCTGTCATTTGAGGAAACTATTATTTCTGGTTTTTATATTAAGTGTAGATGCTCAAATTAATGGGGTGGCCAAAGAATAATCTATGGTGGCCATGGACACCAGTGGCCACCCCCTAGCCCTGTTATTTTGCCCAGTGGAGAAAATGGCTCCCTCTTCTCACCAGGATCTGTCACTCTGCCCTGCATCAGACAAGCAAATATAAAAACAAACAAAACTACCTCCTACAGTGTTACTGCTACCTGTCTGATTATGTTGGACCAAAAACCTTTTACATGCATTCCCTGTTCAATTCCAGTCCAGAAAAACTACAAACGTTCACTATATTTAAACTCGGCCACATGTTTGACCAACTCTCAAGTTCTGTTTGAAATTTCTAAAAACTGTTTTAGGGCAGTAATTTATTCCATACATGAACAGCTTTTCATGAATAAGCATATCTGATCCCATATTGCAAACGTGAACTTCATCTTCTTTTCCCTTCGCAGCCGTTCGAGACTACGAGACGGCCGCGAAACACAGCGAGAACGACCATCAGATCAAAGAAGGCCTGGGGAAGGCTCAGCGGCTCCTCGAGCAGTCGCAGAAGAAGGATTATTATAAGATCCTGGGAGTGAAGAGGTGGGAACTGATGTCTGGGAACGTTTTGTGGCTTTTCAGTGACGTTGAACTGTAAAAATGTACAGAACCAGTAGAAAATAATTGGATCTGAGGAGTCCGATATGAGGACTAGAAAGCTGTCATCTTTGGTAACTGTGCTGATAATATTCTCCTCATGGCTGCAGAACCGCTCAGAAGAAGGAGATCATTAAAGCCTACAGGAAACTGGCCCAACAGTGGCACCCAGACAACTTCCAGGACCCAGAAGAGAAGAAGAAAGCAGAGAAGAAGTTTATAGACATCGCTCAGGCTAAAGAGGTTCTGACTGATCCAGGTGAGGAGAGAGTTCTGCAGAGTCTGGATCTTAGTTGTGCCCATCTTGCAGTAAATGTTGGGCTTTTCAGACGCTGCTGTGAACACCCAAGTACCTCGTCCTTTAAAACATCTTCGTCTTTTTGTTTAGCTTCATTGTTGTGCCTCTGTTTTGTTAAACAAATTGTTCATTTGTGAAAATGTTTTAAAACCCCCACATCGTTCAGTAAAATAATTAAATTAATCTGCATTTCAGAAATTAGTCCTGCCCTGCAACTTAAAACTAGTGATAGCTTGTTAATACAACCATTTTCTCAAAGTACAACCCATTACTTTTAGGAAATAAAAACAAAGTTTAAAAGTCTCCATTTAAAAATCTGTATAGGATTGTATTGTTCTGGACTGACCCGTTTATTCTGCGTTTTCCAGAAATGAGAACCAAATTTGATCACGGCGAAGATCCCATGGACCCAGAGAGCCAGCAGGGCCACCATCATCAACACTTCCACGGCGGTTTCCAAGGCTTCCAGGGTTTCAACCCGTTTGGCTCCGGGCCCTTTAACTTTAAATTTAACTTCAACTGAGACGAGCGCTGAACCAGCAGAACTGGAGCAGAATTTTATTATCCTCTGTGTACAAGGGAGATGACTGGCATTTAAAAAAAAAAATGTTGGTTTATAACGTGGAGGACTTTAATTCACTGACTTTTTAAGGTCCGACAGAGGGGGTTGTTGCCACGCTGTCAGATGCGGCTGATCGTCATGTCGGCTGATCGTGACGCTTTGTTTCAGTAAACTGATCAAACGTTTCACATCCATTCACAAGATCAGAACTGTTCAAATTCCTGTTTTTATATGGATGGATTTTTGTTTGAACTGTAAATAAAAAGCTATTTATGTACATGAGGATTTAAGACTGTTGTATTAAAACCTGAAACAGTTAAGTCATTTTAAAAAAGGTGCTTTTTTTTTTTTTTAAAGCTTCATTCAAGCATCCACTGCCCTCCGAGTTAATTAATTCACCGACTGCTTTTGTTTTGTAGCAAAGATTTATTTCAGTTTTCTCCATCACACCATCATAAACATTTAGTGTTGATGTAGCACAGTAAAACGGAGTGAGAGCGGCCTGCCTGCACCCTTTAATGACAAACTACAGATGGCTTCAGTCGAGCTGCAACACTTATTCCTGAGTCAAAAACAGCTTCTTTTGTGGGAATCAAAGAGTACAGAATCGAGTTCACATATAAACACAGTAATAAGTTAAAACCGTACAAACTATTTCAAACTCTGAACTCGGGATTTATTTTTCTCTTTGAGCCTGATTAACTGAGTCAAAGACTAATCAATTACAGTACATCACAAAAGTGAGTGCACCCCTCACATTCCTGCAGATATTAAAGTCGTATCTTTTCATGGGACAACAGACAAAATGACCCCGTCACAATGAAAAGTATTCTGTGTGCAGCTTATAGAACAGTGTAAATGTATTCTTCCTTCAAACTAACTCCATATGCAGCCATTTATGTCTAAACCACTGGCAAGAAAAGTGAGTACACCCCTTAGTGAAAGTTCCTGAAGTGTCGATATTTTGTGTGGTCACCATTATTTACCAGAACTGCCTGAACTCTCCTGGGCATGGAGTTTACCAGAGCTTCACTGGTTGCCACTGGAATGCTTTTCCACTCCTCCATGATGACATCACGGAGCTGGTGGATATTTGAGACTTTGCGCTCCTCCACCTTCCACTTGATGCTCCAAAAATGTTCTATTGAGTTTAGGTCTGGAGACATGCTTGGCCAGTCCGTCACCTTTACCCTCAGCCTCTTCAGTAAATCAGTGGTCGTCTTAGAGATGTGTTGGGGGTCATTATCATGCTGGAACACTGCCCTGCCACCCAGTTTCCAGAGGGAGGGGATCATGTTCTGCTTCAGTATTTCACAGTACATACTGGAGTTCATGTGACCCTCCATGAAATGTAACTCCACAACACCTGCTGCACTCATGCAGCCCCAGACCATGGCATTCCCACCACCATGCTTGACTGTAGGCATCACACACTTATCTTTGTACTCCTCACCTGACTGCCGCCACACATGCTTGAGACCATCTGAATCAAACAAATTAATCCATCAGACATGGTTCCAGTAATCCATGTCCTTTGTTGACATGTCTTCAGTGAACCGTTTGTGGACTTTCTTGTGTACAGACTTCAGAAGAGGCTTCCTTCTGGGATGACGGCCATGCAGACCAGTTTGATGTAGTGTGCAGCGTATGGTCTGAGCACTGACAGGCTGACCCCCCCACCTCTTCAGTCTCTGCAGCAATGCTGACAGCACTCCTGCACCTATCTTTCAAAGACAGCAGTTAGATGTGATGCTGAGCACGTGCACTCAGCTTCTTTGGACGGCCAACGTGAGGTCTGTTCTGGGTGGACCCTGCTCTTTTAAAACTCTGGAAGATCTTGGCTACTGTGCTGCTGCTCAGTTTCAGGGTGTTGACAATCCTCTTGTAGCCTTGGCCATCTTCATGTAGCGCAACAGTTCGTCTTTTAAGATCCTCAGAGAGTTCTTTGCCATGAGGTGCCATGTTGGAACTTTCAGTAACCAGTATGAGAGAGTGTGAGAGCTGCACTACAAAACTGAACACACCTGCTCCCTATGCACACCTGAGACTTAGTAACACTAATGAGTCACATGACATTTTGGAGGGAAAATGACAAGCAGTGCTCAATTTGGACATTTAGGGGTGTACTCACTTTTGTTGCTAGTGGTTTAGACATTAATGGCTGTATATTGAGTTATTTTGAGGGAAGAATAAATTTATACTGTTCTATAAGCTGCACACAGAATACTTTTCAATGTGTCAAAGTGTCATTTTGTCAGTGTAGTCCCATGAAAAGATAAACTTAAATATCTGCAGGAATGTGAGGGGTGTACTCAGTTTTGTGATGCACCATTTGTTAAACTCCCACCCTGTATAATTTTTTTACTTCAGTCTTCTAAAAGCACACAATACTGGTAGATGAACTATTATACATTTGTCATTCTCTTTGTAAACTACATTAGCCTTTTTCAATTTGTCACTGAGCTCTGACCAAAAGTTTTAACTTTTGGAGTCGCTCTGATTCACGATGGTCGAACATGATCATTTTACATGTGTGGAACAAGATAAGTGCAAACACATCATGTGAGATCTTTGCTTAAAACTTTGACATGAAAAGGTTTTATGTGTTTCTTCAAGAAATGCTACTCCCATATTTTAATATGGTTTGTTCCAAATAGTTAAAAACAACTGAAGTTGTTTAAAAGTTAACATAATATGAAGTGAAAAATGACATTTCTGGTAAAGGGAATGTTTCCCGTCTGAAAACCAACAGCAAAGTAAAAGCTGTGAACATGATTTAATAATATTTGTATACTTATTTGCCATTTTACTTAAATTTTACTATAAATTAGATCAAATGTCATCTCTAACATTCCAGAATATTGTAAAACTTTGTTAAGATGCAATTTTTTGACTTCTAAACTCATTTTATTGCACGTGGCAGTGCTTAAAGTTGGAACAGATCGATCATTGGATGGGACTGGTCAAACATGGATCGCCTTGTTCTACACTTTTAGTGCAATCTGTTAAATTTAAACAGTTTATTTTGGTTTGGCGTTTTAGCCAAAAGAAAACATGATCTTACCTCTAGTATAAATTAAAATAAAATGCTTAAAATGAACCATACGGAGTTTTACAAACTGAAACAACGAGTTGGATCAGATCGTTTAAAGTGTGCCTTCTCATGAACAATACAACTGTTCATCCTCATATGTAGTGCTTTGATGTATCTTTTTCTGTTTTCCTAATTCTCCTTTAACTCCCTAATCTGACTTGAGAGCTCGGAGCACGCCACAAGTTTTCTCGCCTGCTAGTTAACAATTAATTCATGTGCTGATCTGGTGAGATGTTACTGACTGCCGAAGCAGAGATCTGAAAATATCACATCCTCTTCCTCCGGCTGAGGATATAACACTTCATGGCTATGTTTAGCTGGAACTGTCTGTCTTCAAGCTTCACAGGTGGCCTGTGTGCAAAAGGTGCTGCCTCCCCCTTCAGCATGATTCTGGCAGGCTTTAAAGTTCATCGCGCCGCTTGTCTGCTGTTGGGGAGAAACGTTGAAAACGAGCACTTTAGTAATGAAAAACAACGAGGAACGGGTTAATCGTGCAGAAGAATAAAAGGTTCTGTGGATGTTTTGCTTGGTTCTCTGTGCTTTAACCTTTTTCGTGTTGTGAGGGAGGTAGCGTCTGTTTTTTTGTTGCCGTGTCTCCCACTTTCTGGATTTGCCCGAGCAGCTCTTTAATCTCGTTGTCATATTCGACCCACTCGGGCACGATCCTCGCCGCTGCCGTCAGCTTGGGCTCTTTGGTCTTTGGGTTATTACACTGCAGAGAACAGACAAAACACATCAGTCGCACCACCAGTGGCACTTTGTCCCGACGACTCAGATCTCTTAGCACCGTCTGTGTCGAGCATTAGCACCTAATTTGATTTCCAATTTTGTTAAAAAGACATTAGGCTCTGCCTTGATGTCTGAGTTACCAAGTGGTGACCTATAGCACAATGAGACAATGCTTCCTACTCCACTCTACTGGAGCCCATCCAGTAACTCTCTAAATTAGTTTAGGACACTGCAGGATCCCCTCAGTTGTCTCCTAAATGCCAAGTGCCTCATGGACATCAGTGGTTGGAAATATGCTCAAACATTTTATGCTTTGGTTGCTACTGTTGACTGCAACACTAAGCATGAACTAGAAAGTTCCCGGAGAAACTTTGACGGAGACTGCCACATTGCAGCCATTTAAAAATTTTGATTTGACAGTATGTGTGTTGGCGTTTGTTCTCAGCTACTCCCAAACATAATTTCAGCTCAATATGGCAACAAATCAATGACTTATAGGCCTGGTACGATAACACATTTTGCTGATGAATTGTCTTAGTTAGTCTAACATTGTTTGAAATTTCACAATAATTAGTCATTATTGTGAAATTTAGGAAGAAATGTTGGTTAATTTATTTTGCATGTAGTACCATTTTCGACCACCAATGGCAGTATAAGACTGTTTGAACCGAAGGATGGATAGTGAGGGAACGAGCAGCGTGTCACTTTAAGAAAAATGGGAGGGAGGCCCCTTGACTTGACATGTGCTGTCTCTCTTCAGTTCTCAAAATGGCGAACACTCGGTGTGGTTTGAGCTCTTTAGCATAGCATTTGTTCACATAAAACTTTTAATTAAAAATCAGTAAATAAGTTCTCAGCTTCTTTTTGAAGAGAAAAACAACTTTTTACACGAGGGCACGGGTTTCAATCATGAATTTTGGAGCTTCGAAAAGACAGGTTTTTTTTTTTTTTTCAAGGTCAGCCTTAGCTTAGCTCGTAGCTTAGCTTCTCATTTAAGCTGCTTTTAGCGAAGAGAGAGGAAGAGAAGAAACGATAAAGCCGATAAATGATAATGAGGTCGATAATTTTCAATTATCATGTGATTAACTGATTTATTGTTTATCACGACAGGTCTAATGACTTATAGTATTTTTTTATTTTAAGCTATGATAGCCATCTTCGATTTTTGAATTGCAAAGAGTCTATTAAGGATTGTTCTCAGCTACTAATATACCACATTTCAACTAAATAGGTCTCTTGTAAATGAGACTAACCTGTATAAATAAAGGTTGAATGAATGAAAAAAAATAGCTCTAAAAATGGCTGCGTTATCTCCATTAGAAATTCGTTTCAGCGGCCAGCTTGAATTTTTAGATTTTAATTCAGAATGTGTTGTGCATCGCTGTCAGCTGCCACCACACCAAATTTCAGCTCAATATATTTTAAAATAGCCGAGTTATATTTTTTCCCTTTCAGTTAAATCAACTTCTTGGATATTTGATTTGCATCAGGAATGTATAATAACTCAGCTATGACCATACCAAATTTCAGCTCCGTATCTCAAAGAATGACTGAGTCATAGTCAATTTTGAGTTTTCTGATGTAGCTATGGCAGCCATCTTGAATCAAAATGGCTCCAAAATTTAATTAGTGTTTTGTTCTGAGACCTCTCTGCTCTAGGTCATGTGACCTCACTGTGGCAGTTCAAAGCTCAAGAGTTCTCATTGTTTTTCAATGAGGAAAAATAGCGTCTTTGTTAATTATGTCGCCATGGTAATTCGAAATGCCAATAAAAGTAATAGCATGCATCACGGTGCCGAGCCGGTTGTTTTGATGTAAGATTTGTAGGGGGGCCACATTAAAGTTGAAGGAAGAGTAAGACTCTTCAGGTGCATAATAATAGGTGTCTGTGTTTCTAGGCAGTCCCCAATTACAGTAAAGACAAGAGGGTTCAAAAACGTAGAAATTAAACAAAGATGCAGTTCTCTTTTAACCCGAACGCTCTGAAACTCACCAAGTCTATGGTTTTAGCTGTGACTTTGGAGGCATCATCACACCACGTCTCACACCACAGCCACTCCTGAGGGAGAGACTTGATGGCCACCTGGTGGATCATGTTGTTAGGAAGATCCTGAACACGAAACAAAGCAACATCACTTCAGACATTCATAATGTTTAACTTAGGTCTAGCGGCTGCTAAACGAACAGTCCGTCCCAGTGAGTTGCGTACCTGGTCCAGGTTTGACAGACTGTTCGGGTCTTGGCTCAAAGCTTGGTACTGACCCCGCAATCTGTCTCCAGCTGCAATTTTACGGAATTTCTTTAAATCTACTATATACAGAGCGCTGCATGAGACAAGAGAGAAAACAACACGTGACTCGATGGAGGCACATAAACACAACATCTGAATGTTTCCCTGCACGATAACCACGTGCAAACTAAACTTAGCGTAATGCAACAGATGGTTTTGTTTGTTTGTTATTCAGTCAGATCATCAGCTGATTCATTAATAAAAACAAACAACTCAAAATTTGTTTTTTACTGCAGTTTTATATTTATTTCAATGCACTTTTTTCTTTAAATGGTCTTGCTTTCAGAACATTGCAGTCAGAAAATCACCATGAAATAAGCTTTTGGAAAAAGTGGGAAAGAATTATTCAGTTTTGTCAGGAAACCTCGAGCAGAACGAGACTTGAAGAGAGCAGCCAGCCGTCTCCACTGAGTGGCAGGAAGTAAAGGCAAAGAAAGAAAAGCACGAAACAGCTAAAAGTTTAGGAATAAATTATGAAAAACATGAGTGTTTAGGTGAACCTCAGGTGAAATTTATACTCCAAAAAGGACTATTGTTTCATTCACCATGGTAACCATGCTTTACATGGGAGCTGCTTTGAAAGAGGTTTTGGTCAGAGATTTAGGACACATTTAGAAACTGAGGCTTCATTTAGAGAAGCAATCCTTCAAAAACCTGAGCTGCATCATTAACCTTTGCTCTGTCCACAAAAACCTTTTATTTCCTGCTCTCTAAAGAAATGTCAACATTTAAATACTGACTAATGACATCAGTGAGGCAGACGGTCAGCCAAAAGAATAATTTAATTCAAACTTATATTGTTAGCTAATGCAACTAAATAAAGTGCAGCTACTGCGCAACAAACCAAAATATGGTTTTACTAAGAAAACCAAAGTGAACTAGAGAAAGTGCATTTCCAGCAAAAATGCTGTGTGAATGCTTATTGCTGAAGAACTTACTGAAAAACAGCTGAAATTAGCTAAAAAAAAATGCTGAAATGTAGCTGAAATTGAAGAACAAGCTTAAAGTAGCAGAAGAAAGCAGAAAGAATATGTTTGCAGAATTAGGTTTAAAAATGCAGAAATGAGCACAAAAATATGGAAATTACCAGTAGCTAAAAAAAGCTGAAATTAACCAAAAAGAAAGGCTGAAAATTAGCTAAAAAGGCAGAAAGAAGCCTAAAGTATCAGAAAGAAGTGGAAGGAGCTGGTATGAGCTCAAAAATGTGGAATTGGCTGAAAAAGCTAAATTTAGCACAAAACCGCTAAAATGTAATGGGAATATCAGAAAAAGCTAAAACTGGCAGAAAAATGCAGAAAGGGGCATAACAAGCTGAAATTAGCAGAAAGAAGTTAATTAGGCTGAAAGTAGCAAAAACTATCATGAAAAACTTGAATGTATCTGAAAACAGCTGAAATTAGCTAAAAATGCTAACAAGTTAGCTGAAAATGTAGAACAAGCTTAAATTAGCTGAAGAAAGCAAAAAGAACACATTTGCCCAATTAAACTGAAAGAAGCAGAAATGAGCACAAAAAAGTGGAAATTATCTGAAATTGGCAACAACAACAAAAAAACAGCTGAAAAGTACCTAAAAAACAGAAAGAAGCTGAAAATACAAGAAGGAAGTGGAGAGAACAAATTTTAGCTGAATTAGGCTGAAAAAAGTTGAAATGAGTGCAGAAAATGTTAAATTAGCTGAAAAAGCTTAAATTAGCATCAAAATATCTAAATAGTGGCTGAAATAGAGCAAAAGCTTAAACTTGCATAAATAAAATGAAAGGATTATAACAAGTTGAAATTAGCAGAAAGTTAGAAGAAGCACAAAAATGTTGTAGTTAGCAGAAAAAAAATCTGAAAGGAGCTCAAACAGCTGAAAAAAACAGCTGAAAGTAGCTGGAAAAAAGCATTTAAATTTGCACAAGGAAGCTGAAAGAAGCTGAACCAGAACAAAATGTGAAAGAAGCAGTAAAAGGTTGTAAACAGATCTAAAGATTTGAAGGATGTAAAATGAGCTCAAATAATTTTCTATGAGAAAAAAATGGCAGAAAAGGCTAAATATTTCAAAAAGCTAAAGTTGCACCAAAAGTCATAGCAGGACTGTCCTGAAAGAGCTGAACTTTTTGATTTATGATTTGGTGAAACAGCTTGAAAACTGTGGGATGAGATAACGCCAAAAAAAATGTACAGAAGAAAAATGGCTCACAATAGAGTGAATGCTTCATAAACATTCACACAATAAAATCAGAGATGCAGCAAATGCAGAAATATGTTTGGTCCTGATTTGTGTTCTTAAATCTCACTAAATTAATATAAAACAACAACTTATTTATAAATATTAAGACAATACTCGATAAAGAAAATGAATTTCTTTCTGATTAGATGAAAAGTGTTTATTTAAAACTTATGTTGCCATGTTTTCAGTTTAAGAGCTGTGATGTGCAGCTGGTACAATGTTTCCTGGCTTATTTACTGAATTGTTTCTTTCTGCTGAAAATCAGCTTTCTATTCTTCCCAGGTCTCTACTATAACTGCCTCCTGTTGACTGAGGCAGGTGTTGTATGACTGTTCTACAGTATAGTGTAAGAAAGTCTCAAACAACACATCAAATTACACTTTTTATGAGCACAAAGCCTGAGGAGTGCAGTCTGAGTAAACACGGAGGCTGAAAACCATCATCATGATGCCTATTATCTCTGATTGGAGTTTTGGGTTTTGTCAAACCAGCTAATGGAAAGAAAGCCAGTTTGAGCTGAATTGTCAGTGGACTGTAATTGAAGATGAGACACACGCAGCTTCGGAGAAAAGATTCTGTCGGCAAAGATACAGAAAGATGATTTCTTTGTGCTTCCATCAGCCTGTGGTGAAACAAAGTTCATGTCTGTCTTCATCCACTGCCTTATCTGCTGTAGTGCTCACAAGGAGGAAACTACAGAAAATGTTATGATTTATAAATCATAACATGGATGGAAAAAAAATCTACGATCCAGACGATGAAATAAATTTTAATTATCTATACCTGATGTGATATTTCCTGTGTCCGAGATGAGAGGCCCAGTAGCCGGTTTTCCAGAAGCGATAGCCTTCCATCTCCCTGCGGCTGTCACAAAACGGTGTGTAGCCATAAGGAGCCCCCTCCAAGTCCAAATCCTTCAGCTCTTTCAAATCAGCCCGAACTATCTGTGAGAGACACGAGTTTCATGGAACCTTCACACCAGCAGTTGAGACTAAGCTCCACACGGCCGTGCAGACCTGTGTCGGCCCAGGTTGATCCCTTACCTGGTCAGCGTCCACAAAAATGATCTTGTCCACAGCCAGTGGGAACAGCACGTCCAGGAAGAGGATCTTGTATCCCCAGATGATCCGCTGCTTCTCCGTCTGCTGGTGGAGCCAGCGGGGCCACTTGTACTGCACTAACTCGTACTGAAAGCCGTACGACTGGGCCATGTGGGAGATGGTCTCCTGCTCCGAGCAGAAGCAAAAAACAGAGGTTTAAACAAACAAAACAAAAACTGATTTAAAAAAAAAAATCTTATCTATGGTTAAAAAAACAATCAAACATACTTTAAATGAAGGGGACAGGTAATTCTTGAGGAACCAGAATTTGACAGGTGTGTTTGTGTGCCGTAGGACAGACAGCATCATTATTCTGAAACAAAGACAAAACAAAAAAATAATAGTTCAGATTTTTAGAAGCAGGGTTCTGTGGAAAGGTTATGAACAAGTAATATCTTACCTACTGAAGATCACTTTTTGAATGACCTCAGCTTGGAAAAGTAAAGTTCAATTATTTAGCCTATATTTGTACATCGGATGGAGACACAAAGTCTTAATTCTCTCAGATTCTAATCAAATTGATGAACCACTTAGACTTAGATTAGCTCATCAATCCGGTCAGAATTTAACTCTTTTTTTTTTTCCAAACAGATGTTTAAATATTTATGGAAAATATTACTTGTTCAAAACCTTTCAACAAAACAGAATTCAAGAGATCTGTACTATTATTTTGACATCCAGGATCAGAAGACAAAGAGTAGAAACTGTAAAGCAGGCCTGTTGCAATAAATCAATTAATCGCATCACAAATGAAAATTATCAACCTCATTTTCATTTATCGGCTTCATCGTTTCTTCTGTGTCTCTCTCTTTCTACTGAAGACACTGGATGACAAAAGGCTCAACTCCGGTGCTCTTCACTGACCCTTCCCTTTCTCTTTTCTCTTTAAAATACGTTTTAAATATCCAGAATTGTGTTTTTGGATCATTAAAAGCAGCTAAGCTGAGAAGCTAAGCTAACAGGCCGACCTTGGGAGAAAAAAACCTCCGTCTTGTCAAAGCTCCAGAATTCACGTCTGAAACCCGTGCCTTCGTGTAAAAAGTTGTTTGTCTCTGCAAAAAGAAGCTGAAAACTTGTTTACTGATTTTTTTATTAAAAGCTTTGTGTGAAATATGCTGTGCTAAAGAGCTAAACCACACGGAGCGTCCGCCATTTTGAGAAGTGAAAAACAGGAAAGAGAGGCAGCCCATGTCACATCAAGGGGCCTCCCTCCCATTTTTCTTAGACACGCTGCTCGCTCCCTCACTATCCATCCTTCGGTTCAAACCGTCTTATACTGTCATCCGGTAGTGAAAAAAGGTACTACACTTAAAACAAATTCACCAACATTTCATCTTAAATTTGACAATAATTACTAATTTTTGTCAATAATTAATAATTGTATTATTTAAATAGTTTTTTAATAATAATATTGACAATAATGACTAATTATTGCCAAATTTCAAAACAATATTATCGTTTATTGCAATAATTTCTGAGACAATTAATCGCCCAGAAAATTTGTTATCGTGACAGGCCTACTGTAAAGTGAGACAGTAAAATGTCTGACCTGAGAAAACGTTCATACAGATGACCAGAGGCCACAGAAAAGATGTTAAGGACGTCCTCCTTTTTCTTCTCCCCATCATCTTTCTTTGAGCCGCCCCCCGTGATGCTGCAAATGAAACCATAACACATGAGACTGTTGTGTTCTGATTGATGCCTGCTTTTCATACAGAAGCAGCAAATCAATACTGCGGCTGCGACCATGTTTCCATAACGTGAGGGGTAATAGTGGTTATCAAAGACAGATGAAGAGAGTTCCAAACAAATCATGCAACACAATACAGCCGCTGAGATGTTTTATTAAGATCAAATGATAATAATGTGGGTGGAAATGACTAATTTGACATGATTTGAACAGTTAAGGTCCTGCTGGCACTTATCAAGACGATGTAACAGAAAGCAGCCAATATTCAAACGTCTCTGTGGTTATGGAGCCACACTTTTAAAGCAAACAGGAATATTCACGATTAACGTCCATTCAGTGACTTTACATCTGTGCACATGGGGTTTGCTTTAAATGGACGGAATTATTATGAGGGGCTACATTTAGCAAAATTTGCTGCACACTGTGGTATTTTAGCAGCTTGAATGAATTTGTGCTGCATTTGGATTTTTTATTTTATTTTTTTTTTGCAGAAAGCACCAGCGTCCACTCTAGTTAATTGTGTTAAAGGATGACAAAAACACTCCCCCACCACAGCAGCTTCCAGCTCCTCTCAAACCATTTCAAGCTCCTCTTACCATAGTTTGCTGACAGTTTGGTAATGATGTAGAAATTCTGGAGTCCCCTCTCCTCTATGGAACATCAAAAATGCTCAAAATTAAATAAATAAATAAAACATGACATAAGAAAAAAAAAAACATTTTTATTCTTTTATTTCATAATTGTGTTTTTCATGATGGCTTATTTATTTCATAATGACTCTTAAGCAGAATGTTTTTTCAGCTGTCAATCAACGTCAGTGGGTTGGACCTGCACGCCCACTGGCTGATCCTTCACATCCGTTCCTGAATACCTGTTCACTGGTACAGCTGAGTTAATCTTGTTAAATTCAAAGAACTAAAACAGTGAGTTCTCTCGTGTGCACTCCCGCGGTGCCTATCAATTTTTGTCAGTCCATCACTTTTTGTCACGACACCTGTATCTTCTGAGAACGTAATCCTCTTAGTTTGATGTGCTTAAGTTACCTGAGCTGAACGAAGTTCACGTAACTCTGACATCCTTCATAACTGTTGACCTAGCATTTCGCTGCTAGCTGCTATGCTAGCTGTACCAGTGAGCAGGAAAACTAATGGATGTGAAGGATCAGCCAGTGGGCGTGAAGGTCCAACCCACTGACGATGATTGACAGCTGACGTCATTCTGCTGAAAAGAGTCATTATGAAATAAATAGGCCATCATGAAAAACACAATTATGAAATAAAAGAATAAAAATGAAAATTTTCATAATAATGAGCTTAGATACTTATATCATAATGCGTTATTTATTCATTTAATTTTGAGCATTTTGATGTTCCATACTCCTCTGGGACAAGAGAGTTGTAAATAAGTGCTTTTTGTAACATTGTACATGAAATGAAAGTCTTGGGGGTTCTCTGCTTTAAACACATTTTTGAGGATAGTGTCTAAAAACATGATTTTCCATTCAGGCCTCGTTGAGTTACAAACACGATCCTACTGTGGAACAAAGGATAAAATAATATAGTCTGACATTGCTCCTGTTTTTTTAAAAAAAAAATTATTTAGTAGTAAATATTTTAGGTTGAGGCCATTGAAAAAGCAATGTTTATTTGGGTCATTCTCTGTTCAAACTGTGATGTATATGTCAACAAAGCACATTTAAAAAAATCATGACTATCACTCTAAAATTTATTGTAATACTTTCAGCCTCCTTTTCTAAACCTATTTGGGGAAATAAGATAAACATAGCTGTTATCTCAGTAATGATCTTGCTGCTCAATGATACAGGGGGAAAAATGGATAAGTAGTAATTAAAAAAGAAAGGCGTTAATATCTATTTAGGGAGTTGGAGAAACTCCACGTCCAGCACTTTGATGAGTTCACTGCATAACTGATGCATCAGCAATCATTATAATTGATTGTTTCGGTCTTTTATCAAAATGAGCAAAAAATGAGCTGTTAGCAGTTTTTCCAACTATGACGAGAGACCAAAATGGTTTTAGGAGTTATTTTAGTGTGCACTGCCGAGTTAAATGGAAAACAGGGTGTCTGTGATATGTTTAATCACAAAGCTGTACCCTGTGATGGTTAACTAAAATTTAAAAGATTAAAGGAAAATATAATTGATGGCGATGGATTACTTTTGATCAATACTGTTGAGAACAAAATGCTTTTATGGTGAGATAACAGTAGATTGAAGTATAATCTAAGGGACTCTTGTTTTAAACGCGTGAATGCTTTAACGTGCTCTTAAAGAGCAACGGCTCATGATTCAAAGCACATTTAGCGGACAGAAACCAGGACTTGTGCTGGAGGGTAGATGTGTCTGCAGTCAAACTGTGTCCTTGTCTGTAACAGACTGCTGATGAGGGAAGGGGTGTCTCTCCCACACTCAATCACAACCACAGCCTCAGCCTCGAGGCAACAGGAAGACACCAGGGAAAGAGAGGGCAGGGAAGGGGGGGGGGACAATGTCCTCTAAAACCAATCCCTGACACATGCACTAAGCAAGTTACATCACTATGATAAAAACTTGGTGATGAGTTTTTGCAGTTTTGTAACACTGAAATGCTCAAAGCAAATAATGTTTCTCTATAGAGGAATATGTTGCTTCTTTTGTTTGGCTTCTGGGTAGTCACCCAAAATCCATAGGGTCTGGGGATGTCCTCTGCCTGAGACGACTAAACCAACCATTATGATGGGCCTTCAGCACAACAATGGAGTCTCACAGATAAGCAGATTTAGAAATTCAGGTGAGAGCCTGTTTGGCCGAATCATCCGAGATAATCGGGACCTTTTGAAAAACCCACAAAGCTCTGGATAAATCCACACCAAGCTGGACAAAACTTTACTTCTGTTCCATCTCCGCTTCTATAGACTGGACACGATGTTCTGCTTTGCATTTGTTAATGGTGATAATATCCAATAAGACATTGATCTCATGAATAAATACTGTATGTCATTCACCTGGTTTTGCCACTGGCTAATTTCCATCTACTGTCCCCATGGTAGGCATAAAGCACGTAACGCACAATAACAAACCAGTCATTAAACATAAACGGCAGGGTCAACACTATTGTGTGCAAATAAAATACAAAATAAAGAATAAAACCTTGGACAAAGTGCAGGTTTAAAACAATGAATTACCTCCTCAACATCCCTTCATTCCTTCAACATGGTGCATGAGCAGTCGACTTGAACAATTGTGCCATCAGTTTTATTTCTATTGCACAAATACTCAAGGAAGTGGCCAAATACCTGTGTGGTTTGGTTATCAAAGCTTGCAAAGTAATTTTATAGTGAGTATATTACAGTCATGAAACTGCACTGGGTTTCAGTTTAATACTTTTAAATATTGATAACAAAGTTATGCGACTAGTTTTAAAGTTTCTTGACTTGTAATATATACAGCCATAGATCCAAAACATTCAAATGACACCCTTATTGTTTCTCAGCATGTGAACTTCTATTGTATCTGAAAGCAGCTATACAATAACTGAATGTACTGTTCATCTTCTTGATGTGCTTTTTGAACCAAAAAGTTGTATCTTAATATTTAACTTCTCTCCATACGACTCATTTTGTTGTACCTACCTATAACCTATATATTGTGACAGTATTCTCTACACTCAGAGCGAGGTATGAATATTTAAGTAAAGTTGAAATGCTTCCCATTATATAAGAAAACTTATCAGCTACCTGTTCAGAATATCTCCCATATGTGTATATATGCAGTATGACTGTGTCATCTGCATACAATGTAATTACAAGAAAAAGAAGTTAACTACATTAGTACAATAGTGCATGACAAGTTTTGATTCTTCAACCAGGACATAAATTAATGCTGTAATGAAAAGGTCATCACCAAGGAAACCACTCACTTTGGTCTAACGATCACTTATAGCTGTATCCATTCCATAATGCGTTAAGTGTTTTAACTGTCTTGAAGAAAAAGGATGTAAACATAATGGAAGTAAATGATGCCACATATTTTCATATCCTAAATATTGCTTGCTATCGTCTTTCCTTTCCCACCTAGAAGGTCACATTTATTACCATTTGTTTTTGCTATGAGACTTTAAAGCAGGGCTGTTCAACTGGTGGCCCGGGGACCAAATCAGGCCCAAGGGTGAGCTCAGTTCGGACCACTAATGGGTTAATTTTTAAATAAACCTAGATTTTAAACTGTAAAACAAACTTACTTAACAACAATAACTGCTGGATGTCTGGCCCCTGAGCTCTTGGCTTTCAATAACTGTGGCCCCCTGAGTAGTTTAGTTGAATAGCCCTGCTTAGTTTAAAGTGTCCCCTGAATTCATGTATGCACCATCATATGAGAAACAGTAAGTTAAACTTATGTATTTAAATGTCGATCCATGTGTAAGTAGCAAAATAGTTTTTGAACTTTGTTGATGGGTGAACATGCACATTCTATAAAGTCTTCAACCCATCCAGAAGTGCTGCTGGTACACTAAAAATGATCACATACTCATCAATCTCATTCACCGTGTTACAAGAGTCAAACAAAAAGCCAAAGCAACAAATAAACACAGCATGTTAATAAACACAGAGTCATTAATAAGTTAATCGGTTCAGGCTAAAATGCCTACCTTTTCTCAAAAGTGCTCCAAACACTTCACACAGCAAGCATTAAATAAGGAGACAGGATCACACAATTAGGAAGTGCCGGGAAACACTTAAATGCACACACATACCTACAGAAGCACATATTTTTCGCAAGACTAGATCTTACAGCATAATATTGCAGTCTTGATCCAGGGGAAGAGTAAGATCTCCTGAAACCGCATTGTGTAATTGACAAACGGAAGCTGCATCAGCATACCAATCAATCACTTAAAAAAATAATAAATAAACTCTTTTTTTTTTACAGCCTGCCAGCTAAAGGAGGATTTAAAACTGACTAAAGCAAATCAACTTTGAGTTGTATTTGATGTACCTTACAATGGAGTCCCAAATGCCTTTGCTTTCACTAGTTTCACTTAAAAGATCTTCATTGATTTTCTCCGTTTTTTTCTGCACCTTTAATGATAAAGTAGACACATAGGTTAGGTTTTATCAAACACTGGTTAAATCTGTTCTGACACCCATAATTTGTGGGCTGTGAAGGCCAGGGCACATCAAGGAAAACTTCAGCAGAGCAATATCATAGACTTCATAGCATTTAATATAAAGTGCATATATCTAGGAGATGTTCTCACCCTGACTTTGATGATCTTACTATGGAAGCTGTTTAGCACAACTACAACATCGCCAGCATCAGCAGGGGAATCAGTCCCATCATGCCTGAAAAAAGTCCACAAAAAGTTTAATATATTTACTGTCACAGAGATCAAAATAAATCATAATGAAATCTGAGATATGCAATTTGCAGCAAGCTGGTAGAAACCCATTTAAAAGACAACTTTAAGGCAGACATTCATATAGCAACGACCAAATCAATTAGAGAAACCCCCCCACTGACTTTGTGACTCTTAGTCAACGTTAACCTTTTATTCCTTTATATTGGGCTTCAAATGCCTGACCAAGACACAAACTTGTAAAAGTTGAATAGCTAAGTCTAAAATGTTTCAACAAATATAGTTGCTTACATTTTACTCTTATAAATCAGGATCTATTATGAAAATAAATAACATTTTATTTTTTGTTGAAAATATATGTCTTTGTAAAGTGGTTTAAAAATGTACTCTACATTTTAGATTGCTCAAAGACAGAAAACATTAAACACTCGTGGAATAAATCGGTCAATAGCCCAACAAAGATTTTCTTGTTTGAGTGTCCTTGAAAACACCTTTGAAGTGAAATAAATGTTAAGCATGCTGTCGATTCACATGTTTTACCCACAGCCGTGGGGAGAGAAAAGTGTGCACTGTAAGCTCTTCTAATGAAGGAGACAACAGCCATTAATGATCAGAACACTAACAGTGTGAGAGCACACTTTAAAGCGGATACTGGGACAGCTGCCAGGGTCAAAACCAGACCACATTCATTACCCTCCATCATCATTAGGAATCACCTTACCATTATTTTGCCCATCACTACCTCCTAGCCATGCTGTATATACTGGTAGATTTAATGAGAAAGTCTGAACAGTATTGATTGTGTAACACAGCCTTCCAGTGTAATTGTTTTAGGACTGATTCACCCAGTAGACAATGTATTTTGGCAGAGACAATCTGCAAGGTCTAATGGTGAAACACTATGGAGCAAACTTGAGGCAAACTGACTATGATGCACCACAAGCCATTACAACTCCAAATGCTCACAAAAGGCAAAAACTCTAACCTTCTCGCTATGATAAATGCCCCCTCCTCTATGGACCCAAGGCAAATCCCACCTCCCTCCCACCACCACCATGCGCAAGTGCTGCTTGTGTTTTCCCCTTTCTGCTGTCAACAGTGCAAATCAGCCTTTAGGGCAACTGTTAGAAAGCACCAGAGATCAATCTGTATCCCTGCAATGAGAGGAGGAGAGTTGGTCATCTCATTCATCGCTGTCAAGACAAAGCGCAGCAGCAACGCGGGCTGCGAGAGGAAAATGCACACTCTGGGACTCAGGAACACAGACGCTCCCAATAGGCTCTGATCGGCCACCTAACCAGAGCAGAGTGCCGCTAACCACAAGAATAATGACACTGCCAAGGTGAAAAATGACATCACCTCTTAGCTTCACCTGGAGGATTGGGGGATAAATCTCGGTTGTCTGATATGATTGCAGAGGAACCAAGGGCTGTATGTGTCCTAAATCTTATGTGAGGCTAGCCAAAAAAGGATGAAAGCTGTGATTATAAATATATCTACAACACTGCACTAATGCTGTCAATGCAAATGCAGACGCATGCTTGGTGTAATTGTCACCTACCTCATAGGTTCATTGTGTTAACACAACACAATAAATGAGGAGTTGTAACTTAACAAAGAAAAAAGTTCCAAAGTTTATTCACACACAAGTAAAACTGTAGCCTTAAATTAATCCAAGGTACGGAAAGTTTTAAAAAAATATATAAATATAATAAAATATCCGAACACATAATAGCTTCCATCTACCTAAAAGAACATTAGGACACTTAAAGTATTTGTAACCTCTGGGTCTCACTGTGGTATTTTAAAGAGACAGTTCAGATTTTTTCTAAAGCGTGGTTGTGTGGAAAGGCTATGAACAATAACATCTTACATGGTATAGATAGCTCTTTAAATGACCTCAGTTTGGTAAAAAAACAAAACAAAGTTCAATTATGGATGAATTGAAAGTGAAGAAAGTGCTATGAGTCGTCAACATTGTATGTCTCTATACAATGACAAAATTTAACCCATCACATGTGAGATACACCCAGGTGGAGCAGCGGGCAGCTATGTAGGCATTCAGGGAGCAGTTGCGGATTAGGTGTCTTGCTCAAGGGCACCACGACATGTGGGCATGGCGGAGAGTTGAACATGCAACTTTCTGGTTCCAAATCAGCTGCCCTACCTCTACATCACAGCGGCCCCTGGCGCTAAATCTAGTCATAGTAAGATCAAAACAAAGTAGCTTGCTGCTGTCCTGTTACAATCCAATCTTATGAATTTAAAAGCTGTTCAAATACTTTTTTATAAACTTTAATATCATTGTCATTTTCACATTACGGTTACTTATATGGAATTTTAGAGTTACTTGAAAGCAAAAATAGGGGCAGCACTAGCTAGTTGAAGCATTACCAGTGTAACCTACCGCACTTCTGACAGAAATACCTAAATATTTTTGCTGGACTTGAACCCCCTGAGACAAACCATGAGTTCATCTATCAGGTCAAATTTAAATTATTTTTCTCCAAAGTGAGGTTGTTTAAAAAGTCATGTACAAAAGGTAGGATATTTACTGTCACAACATTGTCACAGGACCCCATTTTACAGGACCTTAACTTTCATTTGAACTAAAACGCATTTCGTAGACTGAGGAGGAAATCATGGAAGGTGACCTGCAACATCATCGCTCCTAACTTCCTTCTATTAACAACCCTTTACACTTACCTGTCTTTGCTCAGCCCTATGATGAACACAGTTCAGTGCACCCATCAATACCTTGTATTTCTACAATGTTAACAGCTCTTCATGTTATCATAGTGAAAGTTGTTATTGTTGGCAGAAAATGGAGGCAGCTGAAAAGCTTTGTAAGGTTTAAATGAATCAGCCATATTGTTGCCACAGTCTCATGTTTTGTTTGAAGATAGTTAAATATTATTAGAAGGTAAAACAACACCAAATTACCTACTTACGTAAGAATTTGATAGATTTCTTCTGATCTGCCTTTACGTAATCTTAGGATCCATGCACCAGGGTTGGCCTTCAGTTGAAAATACCCCTGTATAGATTAGCAAAAACACAATTCCAACTTGTTTAGCAGCTGTTGCATGAAGCAAACTCGGTACCAGGTTTACAAAAGTTATCATTGACCTTTTGCGAACAATACAAAAATCTGTCAGTATCTGTGAGATTAAACAGAGAAATCTGCTGACCAGGTTAGCCATGACAATAGTGTCATACATGAGCAGGTCTCGACTCGAGCCCAGGGTAAACTGTAGTCCACGAGGAGGCTGACCAGTTGACAGGTCAAAGCAGTGGCCCTCCAGCAAAAGGTGCTCCAATTCAAATTCTGCTGCCACGACCCCGTTCACCTGGACAGAACAAATTACAGCGCATGGAAATCCAAAGCAGAATGAATTATGGCTGTACTTGCACATGCAAAACATGCTGGGTAGCAATGTCTAAGCATCTCAATACCTCCTGCAAGTGGATGTTGTCCAAATCATGGGGGCTGCTTACTGCCTGCACCATCCAGCTCTCTGGTGTGATCATATTAAGGGTGAGAAGTGGAGATTCTGGGAGCTCCATGAAACGAGCAACTGGGCCTGAAGACACTGTCTCATTCGCCAAGAAAGTCACGTCGGGCTCCAAAACAAAACGATAAAAACTGTAAAGAAAGAACAGCAGCAGCAGAGAAGACAATGGGAAACTTTACAATTATATCACTTTTTATCAGAAGACCAAAGCAAAATTTCTTAGTAAGAACTGAATCAGCTACATGTTTTATTTCTGTGACAGCTATAGAAATGCAATTCCTTCAAAGTGAAGAATCTAATACTGTTTCTGTGGGTGCTCATGCTCAGCCAAAAACAAATGCTTGCAGTAGTCTGTGCACCTGAAAAGTTCCCTTTTTCCATTAATAAAGCTGTCAGCTACAAGTTTCAAGCTAAAATTTTATAGAAGTTTCTGTTTCCTTCTTACAGAAGAGTTATGAAGTGTAGATAATAAAAAATATTGATACTGATCTTAATTCGGAAAGCCTCTTTAGAATTCAAGTACATTAACTCATGTATTATTCAAAGAATTAATAACTACTCTCATAGTACATTTGCGGACATTTCCTGCGTGAGATGGGTGTTGTCACCACAATACCACCTTCTTCCACCTGTGTAATATCGCTAAAATTAGAAACATCTTATCTAAAAATTATGCAGAAAAATTGGTTCATGCATTTGTCACATCTACACTGGATTATTGCAATGGTTTATTATCTGGGTGTCCAAATATTTCTTAAAACGTCTTCATTTAATCCAAAATGCTGCTGACAGAGTCTTAACTGGAGTTAGTAAGAGAAATCATATCTCTCCAGTTTTAGCTTCTCTCCATTGGCTCCCGGTCAAATCCAGAATTGAATTAAAAATCTTACTTCTAATCTACAAAGCTCTCAACAACCTAGCTCAATCTTATATTCGAGATCTTATTGTTCCTTATTTTCCTAACAGCGCACTTTGCTCTCAGACTGCAGGTTTACTTGTGGTCCCTAGAGTTTCCAAAAGCAGAATGGGAGGAAGATCTTTCAGTTATCAGGCTCCTCTCTTATGGAACCAACTTCCAGTTTCTGTCTGTAAGGCTGACACATTGTCCAGTTTTAAGACTGGGATTAAGACTTTTCTTTCTGATAAATCTTATAGTTAGGGTTGGCTTCTTATGCTGCCATAAGCTTAGACTACTGGAGGACAAATTGACCTCAATTCCTTAAATGATTTGTTAAAAAGGAATAGTTTTCATTTGAAACTTTTTCTATCTTAACATGTGATTCTCGACCTGCCATTGTGTATCTGTTCCTACCAAAGCCAGCCGGTCGAAGCAGATGGTCGCTTGTCCTGAGCCTGGTTCTGCTAAAGGTTTCTTCCTCATGAGGGAGTTTTTCCTTTCCACTGTCGCCTTCATGCTTGCTCAAGATGAGAGTTCTTTGATGGAGTTAAATTCAAAGCAGTCTGCTCCTCAGATAAATAATGTTAAATTATTATTTTATATATGAATGTTTCTGTTCAGTGTCCTGAGATTACTTCTGTTGTGACATGGCACTATATAAATAAACTTAATTGACTTTAATACAACAAGTAGGTCTGACGTAATAAACAATAAATCAATTAAGCATGATAAATTAAAATGATTGACCTCATTTTCATTTATCGGTTTTATCGTTTCTTCATGTCTCTTTCTACTGAAGACACTGGATGACAAAAAGCTCATCTCTGGTGCTCTTCACTGACACCTCCCTTTCTCTTTTCTCTTTAAAATCTGTTTTAACAATCCAAAATCACGTTTTTGGTCTGTTAAAAGCAGCTAAGCTGAGAAGCTAAGCTAACAGGCCGACCTAGGGAAAAAGCCTCCATCTTGTCAAAGCACCAAAATTCAGTTGAAACCCATGCCTTCGTCTAAAATGTTGTTTTTCCTCTGCAAAAGGAAGCTGAGAACTTATTTACTGATTTTTTTTTTTAATTAAAGCTTTGTGTGACAAATGCTATGCTAAAAAGCTCAAACCACACCGAGCATCTGCCATTTTGAGAACCGAAAAAAAGGAGAGAGCCCATGTCACGTCAAGTGGCCTCCCTCCCATTTTTCTTAAAGAGACACGCTGCTCGCTCCCTCACTATCCATCCTTTGGTTCAAACAGTCTTATATTGCCATCCAGTGGTCAAAAAAGGTACTTCACACAAAAATTATCCAACATTTTTTCTTAAATTTGACAATTACTAATTATTGTCAAATTTCAAACAATATTATCGTTTATCGCCATAATTTCTAAGAAAATTAATCGCCCAGCAAAATTTGTTATTGTGACAGGCCTAATGACAAGATAGTCAAGAAACAGCTGGAGTTTAACGCTAAACAAACTAGTACAGTTGGGGAAACATTATTTCCAGGTCTTTGGTTCTATTCAGGACTTTCCTTTAATAAATCAAAAAGAAAAACACACCAAAATATTTTTAACTAAAAAAGAAAAACACTTTCAACTTCAAAAAAATATGTTTTAAAGGAGTACAGAATAATGTAAAATAAAGACTAATGTTTGGCTGGGTGTGTCTTGTATTTATGACTTTCAAAACTTCTGTTGTCCTTCAATGAGTTTATCGTTTTAGTAATCAAATATATAAAGAAAATGGCCAAATGAGACCAAACTGAAAGATGGTTAAAACATAATCTTTTGAATACAATCTTGGACATTGACAGCGCATCCAGCTTGTTTATCCAAAACATATATATCTTTTAGCCAACTGTGTCAATTACAAGCAGCTCTCGCTCTGGGGGACAGGAAGCTGGTGGAGTAGGGAGGGTGGCCATGTGAATGATTTGTGATGGAAGACTTGTTTCCATCAATATGATTCCAGCTAGTAAATTCAGCTGTATCCTCTGAGGTTTCAGTAAATGAACCCAGCAAATATCTCAGCCCATTATGAAACAAATGGAAGAAAAGAAAAAAACACCAAATCACATAATAGCCAGGACACCCAGGAGTTGGACTGTTAATGGGGGAAAAAAATCAATCTATTATTTGTCTCTTTTTTTATTTCGTAAGAATACAACCAGTTTTATTGTCTTGACGGCACGGTGTGAACTGCAACAGTGAATGTTGTAAGCAATTTGCCCGGAGATGCAAGTGGAAGCCCAGAGCAATAAGGTGGTGTTATTAAGCAGATTGCATCTGTGCCGTAAACTCATACAAAGAGGTGGAGCAACACAAATCTGCAGTGGCAAGAAAATACACAAACAAGCCAAACCAGAAAATTTTAATTACTGCTGGAGCTAGAGAGCGTACCTCTTGAGGGGCATCTCGGACAACTTGGCTCTGCAGTTCATAAACACCTGCAGTCTCGCGTTGACCACTTGAGTAAGCACCTGCAACACTCAGAAAAAAGACCTCGTCAGAAGCTGGAGAAAAATACAACATGTGCAGTAAATGAAAAATGGCATTGTGCTGTATTTACACTGCACCTTCATCTGTAAAACAAATCCCTTAATATTCTCAAGTTTACTGAGCTTATTAAAGTTTCACCACTGTATAAAGTACACGGTGAGAACATTTAAATGAATGAAAGGAACACAACTAAATTAGTATAACGCAGAATGTGTGAAAAACAAGGCTTTTTCAGTTTCCCAACATCAATTTGACTTATCCAGTGTTTAAATTAGCTTTAGAGACTAAACTAGCAAAGAGTTTTAATTAAATCTGCAGGTCTGAATCTACAGCAACAGCTATGCAAAGCTCTTTAAAAGCAGCCATTGTTAACGGTCGTCAAAACTCTGTCTACAGATTACTTCGAAACAACTGCACAGCTTGAAGCCAGACAAGATGGATTTTCTTGAGAATGTGTCAGTCTCAGAAAGGAGAAACTTTTCTCTTTTTTTTTTTTCCAATTTGACAAGTTTTGTGACTTTGTGCAGCACTGATTTTAGTGTGCTGTTGTGTCGAGAATTGACAGAGAAGAAGATTGCAGCTTACAATCAGCAGGGAGGAAATCTTCTGTGCCACTCTGGTGAGGGGGTCAACAATGGCGACAACATCGTAGAACACCTCATTTTCACGTGGTGAGAGGTGGAGCACACTGAGGAGAGCAAACAACAGAATGCTCAAACGTATGTTTCTACAGTGCATTGTTTTCAGACAAATAACATCAATTTCAAAAAAAAAAAAAAAAAAAAAAAAAACACAGCCTACCTGTGAGTATCTTTGAATTGGACATCTCTTCTGACTTCTCCTTTGGGGGCTGCAGCAAGGAGGGCATCAACTTTCATGACTAAGTCACTGGCACTGACAGATAAAGGTCCGTTCATCATTTATTATGTGATGGAAGAAGTCAAACAGAGTGTAGAAGTAAAATAGCATTTGACACCGACAGATAAAAAAAAACGATACCAAAATTTATATTAACGTACTTCCAATTAAGGCTAAAATAACCAACGCATTTTATTTCTGATGACAAGGATAAAAACGTACTGCTTTGGTTTCATCCCCATCTGTTTTACGTTGGCTTTGACTTTTTCTGCTGAACCACCCAGTGTAATCCTCTGAAGCAAGTGGAAATCCTCCACAGTGAATTCGTCCTGTTCTTCAAACGGACCAAGGATCTAACAAGAAGATAATGCAGTCAGAACATGACTTCTCCGGTTCTTATCGCAGTATGTATCACTTACAACTTGCCCAGGGGATGGTAAATCTAATGCGATTGTGACACTGTTTTATCCACTTAAAGTCGTGGTATTCAGAGATGCTGCCTGCTTTTTCTGGGCTTTCTATTCTGGGAGAAAAGCCCTAACACAGCAAGAGAGGCATGCAAGATAATATTAATTGTTACTGTCACCTCAGTGGCTGGACTCTTCATCCCTGGCTGTCAGCAGAGCTACTGCTGAGACATCACTCATAAGCTTTATACACATTTATTTTACAAATACACAGACACACACAAAACCTCTACAGTGCAATACGTGCCACCTGTGACCTTTGAGAAACAGATGTTATACCGATTTGACAATGCTTAGAAAGCGCTCCGCAACTCTGAAGGGAAAATATTTCCCAAATATAGAGAATCCTTTTCTACTGTAGCAAACTTTGTAAACACTGTCTTACACTATAAGGCGGTCTAGTACACATGCAACATGAAAAAAAAACATGTTTATAAGGAGGTGTAAACACTGACGTGTTGTTGCCATATCTATAGTTAGATATGAAAGTTTCAACTCACATATATACAATGATAATCACCGTATATTAAATTCTTTAAATTACAGTATGTATTGTCAAACAGGGGAACGGTTTTCATTTTATTGAAATAACAAACAAATTTTTTTTTTTTTTTAAACTTCAGATTTTTTTAAGTGAAGTTCTGTGGAAAGGGAATGAAAAATTATTCTCCTGCTTGTTGTAGACAATTCTTTAACTCTTGGGCAGCTGTGGCTAGAGCAGTGGTCCTCCAATGCAAGAGATGGGGGTTCGATTCCATCAGCAGTCACATGCTGAAGTGTCCCTGGACAACACACTGAACCCCTCATTGCCTCTGATGTGTGTCTCATCAGTGTATGAATGTGATAAAGCTCTGATTTTTCTTTGTACAGATACAGTAGAGTGCTGTATGAATGGGTAAATGAGGGCACAGATTGTGGTGTAAAGTGCTTTGAGCGTCTTGATAAGATAGAAAAGCTCTATATAAGTGCTGTCCATTTAACATTTAAACAACCTCGGTTTGGAGAACAAGTTTAATTTTAACTAGATTGACGTGAACAGCTGTTCTGATCAACTGATATATCCGACTTTGAATTGAGAAGATCAAATTCAGTTTCCATGCTCCAAAACAACTTTACCGTATTTTTCGGACTATAAGGCGCACCGGATCATAAGGCGCAATATCAATGAACGAGTCTGTTTTCATATATAAGGTGCACCTTAGATTATAAGGCGCATTAAGCAAAACAAAACAGTCAGATAAGTCAAACTTTATTTAACTCATTCACAATAACTCTCAACATTGTTCAGTTGTACCACATAAAATCAGTTGAGGTCTGTAAGTACAACCAGAAATAATACATAAGGCGCACTGGATTATAAGGCTCACTGTCGACTTTTGAGAAAATTAAAGGATTTTAAGTGCCTTATAATCCGAAAAATATGGTCATCTTAAAAGATTTTAAAGCAGTTCATGCCAACACTAGTTTTTTAAAGCTTTGCACTGCAGTCAGTTTTGTATAGCATGCTTATTTACATAGAATTACAGTCACATCTGAAAATTAGGATATTGTGAAAAAGTTCAATATTTTTTGTCAATCATTTCAGAAAGTGAAACTCATTTTATATAGATTTGTTACACATAGAGTGAAATACGGCATGTAATTTTGATGATTACGGCTTACAGATAACGAAAACACAAAACTCAGTGTCTCACAAAATTAGAATATTGAAAAATCACGCACACTATGGATGGACAGACGAATCCTCGACATGGGCTACAAATGTCACACTCCTCAAGTCAAGCCACTCATGAACCAGAAACAACATTATGAAGTTTTGACAAAAGTGATTGACAAAAAATACAGAACTTTTTCATAATATTCTATTGTTTTTAAATGTACCTGTAAATGAATATTTGCAAGAGAAATTAGTAGCAGCAGCAGTTAGCTGTACCACTTCTGGTGCAGCCGAGGCACTTCTGGCAGGAATATTTCTTCTCCACTTTGAAAGATGTGAACTATCCCTTTAAACACCAGGTTTACAGATTTCAACACTAGTAATTTGTGCCGTCTAATAATTGAAAAACACATAGTGCTGAATAATTTGACATTCTTTGTATTTCTAAGCAGCTAATGCACAGGCCTATTAAAAACCTTTATGAATAACAACATTCAGCTTCTTGAATTCAACACTAAAACATGCAGAAGTTGTATTTGTATCAGGCCACATCAGAAACCTGTGGTATGATGAAATTTGTCACTAAAAAATGTAATCTCAATCAGCCCTATAAAAGATGCTTTTTAAAACAGAAGAGATTTTAATATTTGGTCTGTGTATGTGGGTGATTTTGTCACAGTATAATAAAAACACATCAACTTTTTGTGTCACAAGTCTAGTTAGTTCTACAACTCCTTATTAACCAGACAGCTATTCGTGTAATTCAGAATTTTCCTTTTGTGTTGTCAGGAAACAGATGAAGAGTAGTGACCTCTTTGAAAACACTGTTTATAACTAACCCAAGGTAACAATTAACCATTTTATTTGCAACTTAAAGCATAAATCAACTACTTGAATATTTAACTGTTTACCAACAGACCCACATTTCTCTACAATATGATCATTGCGTTGAATTATCGTGTGAATGTTTATGAAGCATTCACACTATTGTGATCCATTTTTCTTCTGTACATTTATCGGCATCTTTCTCATTCCACAATGTTTGTGCTATTTCAACAAATCATCAAAACGATCAGCTCATTCAGAAGGCTGCTATGACTTTTGGTATTGGTGCAACTTTAGCTTTTTGAAATATTTAGCATTTTCTCCCATTTTTTTCCCTCAGAAAATGAATTGAGCTCATTTTACATCCTTCAAAGCTTTAGATCTGTTTACAACCTTTTACTGCTCCTTTCACATTTTGTTCTGCTTCAGCTTCTTTCAGCTTCCTTGTACAAATTCTAACTTTTTTTTCAGCTACTTTAAACAAATTTCAGATGTTTTTTCAGCTGTTCTGTACTCCTTTCAGATTCTTTCTGCTAACTATGACATTTCTGTGCTTCTTTTTTATTTCATTCATTCAACCTTTATTTATACAGGATAGTCTCATTGAGCTTCAAGGACTCATTTACAAGTCTTCTTTTAACTTCTTTTTGCTAATTTCATCTTGTTATGATCCTTTCACCTTATGCCTAGTTTCAACTTTGTCTGTTATTTCAGCTATTATTTAGCTGTTTTATGCTAATTTTAGCTTTTTCAGCTAATTCCACTTTTTTTTAGCTCATTTCAGCTCTTTCTGCTTCCTTCTGGTAGTTTAAGCTTCTTTCTACCTTTTCAGCTAATTTTCAACATTTTTTTGTTGTTGCTAATTTCAGATTTTTTTAGCTAATTTCCTAATTTTTGTACTCATTTCTGCTTATTTAAACCTTTCTCAGCAATCATGTGTTCTTTCTGATTTCTTCTGATAATTTAGGGTTTTCCTCCATTTCAGCTACATTTAAGCATGTATTTTAAGCTAATTTCAGCTTGTTATGCTCCTCTTAGCTTATTTATGCTAGTTTTACCTTTTTCCTGCTATTTCAGCTACTATTAAGCTGTTTGTATGCTAATTTTAACTTTTTCAGCTAATTCCACATTTTTTAGCTAATTTCAGCTCTTTCCACTTCTTTCGTTCTCTACTACTGTATTTTTCGGACTATAAGGCGCACTGAAAATATTTTAACTTTCTCAAAAATCAACAGTGAGCCTTATAATCCGGTGCACCTTATGTATTAATTCTGGTTGTACTTGATGACCTCGAACCGATTTTATGTGATTATTGTGAATGAGTTGAATAAACCAACAAAGTCCATGCTCAATAATCCAGGTATACAATCCAACAATTTTCAGTCAGGTCATCTGGACATTTTTTTTTTTTGTGCTGAAACGTTTCACCTTCCATCCAGGAGGCTACATCAGCCTTAGCTTTCAGAGTTGAATAAAGTTTTGACTTATCTGACCGTTTTGTTTTGCTTAATGCGCCTTATAATCCGGTGCACCTTATAGTCCGAAAAATACGGTACTTCTACTACTCCTCCGTAGTTTAAGCTTCTTTCTGCCTTTTCAGCTAATTTTCAGCTATATTTTGCTAATTTCAGATTTTTTAGCTAATTTTCTAATTTTTGTACTCATTTCTGCTTATTTAAACGTATTTCAGCAAGTACCGCTATGTGCTCTTTCTGCTTTATTCTGATAATTTAGGCTTGTTCATCCATTTCAGCTACATTTCAGCATGTTGTTTTTAGCTAATTTCAGCTGTTTTTCAGCAAGTTCTTCTGCACTAAACGTTCACGCTGCACTTTCACAGGAAACGCAGTTTCTCTACTTATTTATCATTTCCACTGTCAGATGATATACTGTATGTCAAATATTTTCACAAAGGAAACAAGTCATAAGCCTTAGAGCCTCAAGTGAAGTTTTTGATCAATTTTAGGACATTAGCTTAACGATTAAACATTGTATTACTTCCAAGCCATGGGTCCACACTCCTGACTCTTTGTAATATTACAATGTTACTGTGCTAAAGCTGAAGTCCACTCACTCTGCCATTGCTGATTACTGCCCGCAGTCCAGGACGAAGCTTCAGGACGTCTCGACAGAACAGCTGCTGACTAAGGATAAAATCCACTTCCAACGTGTTGAATTTTTTCTCAAAGGCATCCACATCCATGCCCTGGAGCAGAATAACAAACATTTATTCATGTTGGAAACAATACACAGTTAAAAAAAAGGACTTTCTGAATGCCTCGTTTTGTGATACGAATGAGTCGTTTTGGGACATTTCTCTCCTCCACTGCAGCCTGTCAACAAATGGCAGTCTGAGTAATAAATTACCATAAACAATGATGTATGTAAAGTAAAATCGTTTTCATTATATCATGGACGCCTTGCACTTCTACAATCATTGCAGTTTTCAAACTTGCTGGGAAAAAAAAAACAACCTTTCAATGAGAGCTGTCAGAAATGCATGCGTAAAAATGAGATAAATCAATTTGTAATTAATATAACAAACTCTTAATTAAACCGCAGCCATATTTATCCATAATAAAAAGGTTGTGGGAGTGTGGAGGTTTTGTGGAGGCAGGTTATTAGTTTCTCCAACATTTCCCTCCTCAGGAGATCAGGTGAAATACCAATAATGTCAGCACAATCCAGTCAGCAAGTCTGTCTGGCAGCCAATAATAAACTTGTATCCCTTGGCTTTGGGTCTCAAGTCACAAAGCTGCTTCCTACCTATCTTTCCGTTGCTATTTTCAGCTCATTCTCTCTCCATTGTTTGGGGGCTTGTATAACTGAAGGAAAGTTTGCTGTGCTCGCCCCAGGTGAAGCGTGGACTGTATGACTTACTCCTGATGGGAGAGGAAAGAGCTCTCCTGTCAACTCATTTGTTGATTAGTCACTGAGAAGCTCTCTCTTTTTTTGCTTCTGTGTAGGATTGTGTGGGTGGATACTGCAGACTACAGCGCAGTGGCTGCAGATTGCTTACAGCAGCAGAGCGATGGTCAGGCTCGGCTGAACATACGTAGCTCACACAACGATGAGCTGGAGTTCAGCTATTCATCAGCCCCAGGAGAGGCAGGTATACACCAGCACTTTTAGTTAAAGACGCTTCGTGTGGAGTCCGTCTTGTGACGGCCCTGTGACACCTCAAGTGGAACTGACACTGAACAGGCTGCTTGCCGTGATATCCACAGGCTGCGGTGCATCTAAATGTATTCTGTTTGCTGATGTTTATAGGGGATGAGAAGATTGGCTCATCAATCACAATTTTCTCTGACTGTGGACTGAAATCAAGAAAACAGAGTCAGACAAATCTCTGCAACTAGTAATCCCCAGCCTCTTTTTTTCATGAAATCAGTGATAAAATACACTTATTAGTCATAACACTAAATAATTCCTCCAGTGACTCCAGTGAAAGTGGTTACCTTGAATAAAAATAAAACTCTGAAATTGTAATTGCTGTAGGTCTGAATGTCTTCAAGGGTTTAACTACACACTATTTTATAATTCAAAAAGAAAAAAAAACTAAACTTTATCAGCTGATGAGAGTTTCTGATACAACCATACCTTAGTGTTATAAAAACCTTTAACAACTTTCTTTTAAATCTTTAAAATGTCTGCTTGTTGACAGAGTTGCAAATCAATGGGCTGTAGTGTTTGAAACCAGAGTTGCATTTTTTACCTCGGAGGGACAAAATTTATTCTCATTTACATCAATCAATGCTGTAGCCCTGGCTATTTTGAGCCTTAATGCTTTATCAGATTCATTTTCTGGTAAATTACAGCTACAATAAATAAATTGCAGGGGGAAAAGCAACAAATTAATAAGAACAGTTCATGGGGAGAAAAGGAGATATTTCTTGGTAGTTGAGAAAGAATTAAGCGTATAAAAAAAATTCAGGAAGTTCAAAAAAATGTTTAAATGTCAGATTAAAACCTTTCAGGTTAAAGTTACTCTCTCTAAAATAGAGTTAAAATAAGAATTAGCTGGCATACAAGCTTAAAAAAAACTTCACATTTTCATATTATTTAAGAACAACTTGAAATCAATACTTTCATACAGATCACATCACTACAAAATGCTTTGAACTCGTCACATTTCAGTAGAAAAACAAATAGTTTTTAAAACATAATTAGAGCAGTAAAAGGGAATAGCTGGGTACATTCTTGTCTAAGATTCTTGTAGGTGAGCACAAACAGGGAAACAATGTCTGAGGCTCAGATTTGACCACAACAGAAGTCTCAGTGAATTGTGTCAAATGAATTCTAATGAGCTGATTTCCATCCACAGTTGATCTGATGGTTTAGTATGTTAAACTTGCACCATTTCACAAGCTCATTCTCAAATCTTGTGGATGTACATGCAGTCAAACCGCAACTAAACTTATATTTTATTTGTAATATTTATGAAAATAGTTTTCTCTCTTGTTGTCAAGAAGGGAATCTAACATGATGGAAAAACAATGTAAAATGTGACATGAGCTGCTCAGTAAACACTGATATACCAAAAGAAGAGAAAATTTGGAACGAGTTCTTGATTAAATGTATGAGCGTCTAAAATTAAAGCTGTGTAGTTTATTAGTATAATTAGTTTTTTTTTTGGTTTTGTTTTTTTAATAGTTGGGTTTGACTTTCTTTTTAAACCTTTTAAACTCTCTTTGGGAACAGCTTCACAGGAAAATCACACATATTTTTCACAAATGACTCATTATAATTTTGTTTGTTTGTTTGTTTTTCTGGAAAAAAAAAGTTTTGATTTTTAAAATGATTAACGCTACTTTTACAGAAACCAATTTTCAATTTATAGCTAAGCTAAAATAAACAACAACTTCCAAATCAAATTTTGCACCAAGAGCCTCATTTAAAAACAGTAGTCCCTCTCTACTTCGCAGTTCGTTTAGTGCGGACTCGCTCTATCGCGGTTTTTCAAAATAAGATTGGACATGACACACAATTGGCTGATTGATGGATGAGCTGCACGATCGCCATGGAATGTTTATTTAAAATTAATTATTTTAAAATTTTTAGCACCTGCTGCAGCCCACAGCTGCAGGATAAACTTCCTGCTGCAGCTGATCAGCTGTTCCCTATGCAGAGCAGAGAAGTGGGCGTGGTCAACAGCGCTTGCAGGTAGCAAAGAGCAGTCGAGGCAGGGAGCTGGAATAATGACATTCTGTGCTCTTTTAGAGCGTTTAGAGTTTAGAAACAGTGTTTAGAATATTGCAAGAGTGTGGGAAGGGTTTAAAACACCTTAATATACATATACTAAAATAAATTACTACTTACTACTATTCCTACTTGGCAGTCTTTCACTTATCGCGGGGCTTCAGGGTACGGATCCCCGCGATAAACGAGGGACTACTGTAGTTTCATACAACAACAAAAGTGCAGGCAAGCACAAAACACTTGCAGCGATAACCCAATGAGCAGTTTTGTCTCCTAAGTGTCAAAACCAGCGTTATAAACGTAGTTCGCCGTTTACCTGCATCAGTAAATCCTTCATTTTAGTCCCCTGCTGGAGGAGTTGGCTGCTCTCTTCTTTTAGAAGTTTTAGCACAAATTCTGCTGCTGCCTTATTCTTCTGGGTGAGGAGAGAGGCCCAGACAGCCCGGTACACCATGGTGTTATCTTCACGGGGCTTTCCGCTGGGGTTATTTATCACCCCAATACGCACACCAGGACTGGACTTCTACAGAGTACATACAGTACACAGAACAGTTGACATGATTTAAACTTATTTCACAGATTCTCGTTTATCCAGTGATGCCACGGAGAAAGAGCACCAGTAAGAGGGCGTTTTTTAAAAGTAACATTTTTCGGTTTATAGCACAATAAGACTGAAGGAAAAATGTGCTGACTGTACTTACAACATGTTTGAGGGCATCAAGCAACAGCTTCCTTCCTGAAACCTTCTCCAAGTCTCCAACAATCCACATGGTCACCGAAGTCATCCCATCTGAATCTAAAGTGAAAAAGTGAAATGACAACAAGATTTTAAAGGCATCTGTATAAAGTCCAAGAGCCATAATTTTTCAGTTCCAGAAAACCTACAACTCTTGACAGTACTAACATAAATAAATAAATAGGAATTCAGTTTTATTTATTCAAAAGCTGTTAACTAATGTTAACAAATGCACATATCTGACTTTCAACCTTTATTTATACAGGTCAATCCCACTGAGCCTCTGGGACTCATTTACTAGAGATCTGAATTTTAACAAAGAGTGATGGCAGCAGTGGATAACGACAACAATAGATAATCATAAAGGATGCGTACAATTTTTATTTTTTAACAAGTGAAAATAAAATGATCATTAAAAGGATAATTACAAGGGAAAGTAGCGAAAAAACAGCAAAATTGTAAGGCGGTGTCGAAAACTAAAAGCAGGAACATGTCTGCATTGGTTTTCTCAGGAACCTAACAGATGTTTAAAGCCACTTAGAGAGGTCAAGGTCGAGAGCTTCAGATCTTTTTGCAAGATATTCCAGGAAACTGGAGACTTACCAAGATCCTGGCATGGCTGCATTTTAGGACATACCATACAACTATGTATGGTAATTATCATATGAAGTGATTACAAAGAATTGGGACCACGGAGCTCAACAGCATACTGTTTTAATTGATTATTAAATAAATTGAATAGTTTCATGAACAAAAAGAAGACCTTTGTAATAAAAACATGCCAAATAAATGTGCAGATGTCTGTTGCTACAACACAGTAACAAAAGGCGTGAGCACCCATTCTTTTCAATTCAGTTCAGTTTATTTCTGTAGCACCACGTCACAACAGAAGTCATCGCAGGGCACTGAACAGAAACATTCATATACACAAAAAGTAAGTTAATAACATTATTTATCTGAGGAGCAGACTGCTTCGAGTTTAACTCCATCGCAGAACTCATATCTTGAGCAAGCATGAAGGCGACAGTGGAAAGGAACAACTCCCTCATGAAGAAGAAATCTTTAGCAGAACCGGGCTCAGGACAAGCGGCCATCTGCTTCGACCGGCTGGGTTTGAGAGGAACAGATACACAATGGCAGGTCGAGAATCACATGTTAAGAAATAAATAATTTCAAATGAAACTATTCATTTGAAATTATTCATTTTAAGAAATGTGGTCAATTTGTCCTCCAGTAGTCTAAGCTTAAGGCAGCATAACAAGCCAACCCTAACTAAAGGATTTATCAAAAAGGAAAGTCTTAAAACTGGACAATGTGTCAGCCTCATGGACAGAAACTGGAAGTTGGTTCCACAAGAGAGGAGCCTGATAACTGGAAGATCTTCCTCCCATTTTGCTTTTGGAAACTCAGAAGCCTGCAGTCTGAGAGCAAAGTGCTCTGTTAGGAAAATAAGGAACAATAAGTTCTTTAATATAAGATGGAACTAGGTTGTTGAGGGCTTCGTAGGTTAGAAGTAAGATTTTGTATTACTTTCTGAATTTGACAGGGAGCCAAAGGAGAGAAGCTAAAACTGGAGAAATATGGTCTCTTCTACTAACTCCAGTTAAGACTCTGGCAGCAGCATTTTTCACAAGGATTCAACTATGTAGAAAAAAAATGGGTGATGTTTGTGAAAGGGAAAAAGGTTGATTTTGTCTCACCCACCCACAGCACTTTCTGTATGAAACACTCCTTGACACAGGATTATGAAACAAGTTTTATGTAGAATCTTGGCATCAAGAAAAAGAAGAACACAAGGCTGAGGGAGAGACATACCCCACAGTTCATACCACGGCCATGCCAGAAAGCTTGAGCAGTGACTCAGCAGCTCAACCATTGAAAAGACCGCTTGTGTCGGTGGTGAGCAAGCGTGATGTTCCTTGGGTAAGAAAATGCACTATTTCACTGTGGTTTGATAACAAACACAGTTATCTTAAACAGTGAACGGCTGTTGAACTCAGATTTTTAGAATAAACATTTAGCAGTTCATGCAGAAAAGAGTCTTGATGTTTCCCATCAAGGACAAGTTGTTGTCTGCTGTGAGCGAGGACCACGGTGAGACTGAACACATCTGAATACTCCTTTCTTTTTGAGTGCCCACTGATAAAATGTTTTCCTTTATTTCTCAATTCAAACTTTACTGTAATTTAATTTAACTAAAGTTTTATATTTTAGCCTTTAAAGTGGCTTATGCCTGCATTATCAGTTTTTGCATTGAGCCCACTGGCAGCAAGCTCCGCCCACAAAGTTAGTCTGAGTATGCTAGGTGAAAAGAAGAAAATGCTAAGAGAAATCAGCAACCTGGAGACAAACTGTGGTATTTCTAAATTTTTTGTTTAAATTATCACGCATTAACTATAGCAAAATAATAGTGCAGGCAGTGTCTTTAATGTGCACAAGTGGAGCTTCTGTTTTCACCATCTCTACTTTCTTCATCATCAATGTTGGAGTTTGTGGTATTCTCAACCCTTTCCTGCATCTCAAGGCTTGCTCGGCTGTCTTGCACTTGGTTTGACTGTTTTAAACTTTGTTTTTTAACATTTCTCTTCTTTTTAGACACAAACACAAACATTACTATTGCAATCTAAAACAAAATTTAAATAACACTTTAAATGTAGAATATGTTAAAACTCTGGAACCTGGATTTTAAAGCTACATAAGGCTTATGCATCACGCTAAAATATTGTTTACCCATAAGAATAAGATATTGCTATATTTTAAGCCATACGAGAGATAAAGGTCACTTTATGATACACCTGTTTCTGAGCAACACTCAGTTTCCCTCTCCATCCATCCATCTTCTACACCCCTTTTCCTTTCCTCATCACAGGGAGCTGGTGCCCATCTCCAGCAGTCACTGTGCAAAAGTTAGAGCAGACCCCGGGCAGGCATCCTGTCCATCACAGGGACACACAGAGAAAAAATATTCACACTCTCACCTGACCAAGGGACAATTTAGTCACCAATTAACCTAGCATGCATGTTTTTAGTCAATGGATGGAAATTGGTGTACCCAGAGAAAACTCACACATGCACAAGGAGAATATTCATCCTTGTGAGATTGTCCAAATTCCACCCAGAAATGCCCCCAGGCAAGGAGGCGATCCCGTGACCTCCTTGCTGAGAGGTGACAGCTCCAACTACTGCACTGCTGTGCTGTCACTTTCCCTCTGGGCAGCTATTAAGATTTTGGCCCGTGCTGCTGACGTGAAAACATTACAAACTTCAAATCCTTGCATGTACCGCTCCAAGCTTCCTTTTCAAGCACATCCTAAAAACCTATATTGGTATTAAATGCCTGTAGAGACAGCTGGCAGACACTGATCTCATTGTCATGTTGGCACCAGCCTAGGATGACATGCACATTGTGACATGATGTGCCAAGCAGCATTAGAAGACAAATACACATGCCATTAGGAGATACACACATTCAAGCATTAACACACAAGTGAAATTTATTGTTTATTTTCTTGCCAAAACCAATTCAATTTGTTGTCAGGTGTGTTCACAGGTGTTTTGAACTGAACAGCTTCTAAGGCCTGGTT